ATGATGTGCTCAATAGTGTCTGTTAGTACACCTGTTTTGTGCCACTTTGAGAAATGCCATTGTTTTTGTACCTTGTAGATTTTATGTTAGTCCTGCACACTCAAACTGCAAGTAGGCTAGATCTTTAATGATCTCCAGATTGGCACTATTAACCACTTCCATCAAGGTTCCATGGTACTTGGATATGGAAATGTTTCATGTCAATTTAAATGTGGCAACAAGTTGGAATGTTAACTGACACACCTTAAAAAAACAGCATCTTAAGCAGGTACTACCAGCGACACCAGGTGCACATTATCACCATTAGCTCTTTCTCAACACCATAAGGCAGGTGTTCAACACTGGCAAGCTGCAAATAAGCGTAGTGTAGTGGTGAACAGAATGGAAAATATGAAGTGTTGTCACTTGAGTCAAGCGTAACCACAATAAGAATGAAATAGCCTTTTCCATATAAATGTGTCTGTTTGTGTATAACAGGCAGTAATGTGTCTGCAGGCTATTAGCAGTTACTGAGTGATGGGAGACATATTGAGAAACCACACTAAAAAGTGGTCATTGTGACATTGTTGTTGATGATAAAGAAAATAAAAAGCCCCTTCTTTTATTCATTGTTAACGGTCAACATCTGAGGAACTCTCTCTGAACACTATCAACCCACTCTATCTGCCATCTGGTTTTAGTTGGCTTGAAAAGAGAATACAGATGAGGAAAGGGGTTCTGATCCAACATATGGTGTGCACCTAGCCCCCTCCACCCAACCCACAAGCTGTGACCTACTCCACACCCAGAACCAGGACGAGGACCCAGTGTGTTTAGTCTGTGTATAGTGTTGGGAATGTTACACCATGCATGCCACATCATGTGGGCCTCTGCCTGGTTAAAGCTGGCTAATGGGCCACAGATCAGGGCTCACCAAGCACTAAGCCCAAGATCACGTTTCATTGGATGCAGATGCCTGCTTGTGGATCTGGCGATTTATGGCAATGACATCATGAGCTCAACCTGCTGGAAGATGGTGGGTACTGTGCTTTGATCTGGGTTGAGGGATTGGTGATCTGACATAAGCAATGCATAGTCTACCAAGTTGATTTAAATGATGACCCCTCATACAGGATAGGGAGTATGAAAATACTTCTGTATTACACTTTTAACATATTATCTACTTCTTCTTCTTAATCCATTACTTGAATTGTCATTCATTTCAGCTAATGAGTTTGCATAAGAAGAATATATAGATATAACTTAACCTTTTAATTCTAACCTGTGGAGGTTGCAATGTTTGATGCAAGGCAAATGCTATGAAGTGTGTCCTAAATATCCAATAGTGGGGCTACAGGATAGGTGCCAATGAAATCTTGAAGGTTATTTCTATTGGTAGCTCGAACATACAGTACCGAGCAAATGTAAATGTCCCTAGGTTAGCAGGGCAGAAACCGGTTTGAAGTTGCATAATCTAAAGCATAGTCTGTCAATTGATGTCTTCCCAAATTTCCAAAGTGTGCACTACTGTGCATTTGAGACACAGCTTAGGAGCACCTCACTGTCAGAGCTCTATTAACATTCTCACATAAGGTCAAGAAGGTTAGACTGCCATTCCTACTTCTGAAGAAAGTGGTAGTGCCGGAGTAGCAGTAAGGTGAGTGGATGGCTGATGCTGAGAAGTATGAAGACACTCTCAGACACAGGCCCACCTTTTGAACCTCACAAAAGTCTTCCCAACAGCTGTTCTGCATAATGTGCTCCAGTGATACCCATCTCATAGGGCCAGAGGTTACAGTAAGCTATTCCTGACATATGGGAATCACATAACACAGCTGGGTATGGCTGACTGAAAGAATGGCCAACTTGAAGAATGAATGGACTAATGAATGAATGTATGGATTGGAAATGACAGAGACGCCTGACGCCTAAATTCAAGGAGCTACAGAGGTGAAGGCAGGCAACTGTGCCCACATTTTTTCCCTCATGCACATTTCACTACACAGAGAATTGCATCCACACTACTGTAGGTTCACAAAACGAACACGCTTTTTTTGTCCAGTGAATCATTGGAGCCAATAAGATATTTTGGACAGTTTGGAGGATTTAAGGTCTGTCCAGCAATTGATTTACTACCAGGCTGAATGGTGCATACTGCTGTCAGCACACAGGCTTCAAAGTCAAATCAGAGCTGGGATAAAGGGTTGAATGGTCATTGTATAAATGAAAGTAGTTCATCAAACCTGAGTCAAAAGGAATGCTTCAAATACAGACAGAATGTGATTCATTGCAGTCATAAATATGATGGTAAATGTACAACAGATCATCAGGTGGGTTCTCCTGTTCCCTCATGCACTTTTCTTTAGGTCTTTGTGATTTAGGCTACTTGAAAGTTGCTATATATATATCACTACTTAAAAAATGCTTTCTCCCTAATGGGTACAACCACGATATATAAGGCCCTATAAAACATGTGTTTTGAGTTTACATTAAAAGGTGTGTAAGGTATATTGAAGAGCCTGCAGCAAGTTTGGCATTGACTGAAAACTGCAATTACAGTCATTTCATCTTGGGAGTCAGAATTGGTTTATCTCGCCAAAATGTAATGAATGCTAAAAGTCTGCATTTGTAGTTAATTACCCAAAGTGCTTACAATTTTCTGCTCCTTCGCCTATTCACACAAACATTCACACGTCTCCACACCGATGGCATGCATGCTGTGGTTATTGGTGAACCTGCTCTACCTCCTGAGACAGAGTTCCACAGCACTACATTGTTTGATACAATCCACAAATGGCGCAAGAATAAACTCATTATCCTTTACAGTCTGTTTTTTCTCATATGAAGGTGTTGATTCATTGCGTTTGCACAAATCCCTACTAATTACTAATGGGCGAGATTTATCAGGGGAAACCGAACAACAACAGGGGATCATCACAGCAGAACATACACATCCGTCTGTACATTGATATCCATTGACAGTTTACACAAGGCTTTCACTCTCTGCCATCTACAGTAACTCAATGTAAACACAGTGAAAAGATTCAACAGGCAGGGTTCAATCAACACGCTCAGCAGTCTTATCCAAACTCTCAGCTGTTCCCTGCTCTCACATCTCTGTTTGGGTCAGCTTTGTGACTCAAGTGATGGCATGTGTGACGCTGTGGAATCCAGACATGACATGGTTGGGCGCCTGGCAGAGATCCAATCTGAGATCAACCTCAACAGGTCATCGTGGATTAAACAAGCTCAGAAACACGACGTAAAGCTAGAGCCGACACATGGCTATCACTGTATCAACAGTCCTGATAAAACAAAGGAGATCCAGACACTGAAAACACTGATGGGACAACAGAGCTGGTTGTGGAAAATGATGTTGTGATTTACTCAGTCTGCTTGGCAGAATGAAAGCATTCCATTGGATTTAATAACTGTAGATGAGTTTTGGCTTCACTTTCCACATGTGTTTTATGCAGAATAACAAAATGTTGTGTGCGTGATGTATTCAGCAAGTAAAATCATCTCTTTAGGGCCATGTAAAAAACACATGTATCAATCAAGTGGTGTTTTCAATTCAATTTAAAAACATAAAATGTATTTAAATGGTTTTGCACCATTGGCCAGGTGTTTTTTGACAATTAAGGTGCCTACTCAAGATGGTTCCTGGACGCCAAATCAGGCATAAGGCATTTTACAATGTGAACGGCATTAATGTGTGTTAATGTCTTCACATTTATGAGTGGACTTGTATCAGTAGGTTGGTCAGTTCAATGACGGTGGTGGCGAAGTCCATAGGAACTTAGCTTGGCAATTGGAAGGTCACCAGTTCAAGTCCCGGAAAGACCAAGTGCTACCGAGGTGTCCCTGAGCAAGGCACCGTTCCCTACACTGCTCCCCGGGCGCCGTACATAATGGCAGCCCACTGCTCCTAACACTAGGATGGGTCAAATGCAGAGAAACCGTTTTGTTACATAGTACCTGTACTACGTAATGACAATAAGTTGAATCTTCTTATCTTCTTCTTCTTATAAGTGAGCTATAGTAACATGTCTTAATAGTGTTATTTTATTTTCCTTTGAGAAACTGTTAAACCAATTGAGAAAATAAAACGACCAATTGCCTTGCAGTTAAATAAAAAAGCCTTATTGTTTCATTGTGGTCTGTATTTCGTCTTCACAGCTTGTCAAACAAACGATTCAATCTACACATGTTTTGGGTTTGGTCACACACCAGAGTATTGGAATGAAAATATAGAGAGGTAACAGCATCAATGTTGGACTAACGAAGCTGTTGAGTATTTGAGGGGTGGATGATGAGAAGTAGAAGATTTTCATCTGGACACAAAATGCACTGAACAAATTATGTAATGAACTCCAGCTGATCAAATATGACTTATCAGTGTGCTGGTGTGACAGGGTGTTAATGAGTATTCACAGTTGATATTGTGCATTCATTACATCTGGTATGACAATGGGGAATCACAGAATACAGAGGACGGTGAAGATAAGTACCATGTGACAAAAGCATGATGTGGTTACTGCAGAGCAATAGTTGTCTTTACATAGCATTTGTAAATAACTACTATTTTCCACAAGTACCTATAACTTAATGAACTTCCAACTCCTGTGGATATAGTTACGGAGATGTCTTGAGTTTATGGGCAGCTAATTATCTAATAACAAAAAACACCCATCTTTTATCTGTTTTTGTGCTCTACCACTGCTCGCTAATTAATTTCCAGGCAGCTAGCTAAAAGTAATTTGGTTGTAAGTCACTTTACTTTAGAGGAAAGGCTGGGTGGCTTTAGTTTAAGTGTTTGTTGGGTAAGAAATGTAAAGTGTTTCATGAAATACTCCAAGTAACATTACCACCAATTGCGAATTTAAATTAAAGCCTGGGACATTTTTGATGCGTCACACCTGCTGAAGAATAATGCCTTGAAACAAAGTACCACGTCTATTCTGCACTGATATTTAACTTCCAATAGTTAAAAGGCTCGGCAGGTGCAACACCACTCTTACCTGTCTGCAGCATCCCAGAGCCGGACTCTCCTCCAAACTCCCCCGGTGCATCGTCCGGTGAGGCGGTGCTCGTGCTCATGAGCCCGAGGAGGCAAAGTGTCCATTTTAGCAACCTGCAGAACATCTTCACGCGCTAATTACCTTTGCAATTAAGAGTTTAAGAGGTGCAAACAAGAGAACCAAAACATGTATTGGAAATGAAAAATATATATAGAGAGGCTGTCATTAGTCCTCAAAAGTGAGGAACATTGTTTAACGGCACTTTTTGTTCTTTAACTTGGACTAACTTGTCATCCTCTCCAGCTCTCCTCTCCTCAGACAGCAGCTTCTCTCCCCCTGCAGCAGCAGCTCATCATAGAAGCGCCAAACCAGCCAGCAGAGGCCCCGCCCCTTTCCTAAAATCCAAACCAATCAAATCCTGCAGGACCTCCGCCCATTTGTTTTAACGACTGTCTGACGACTTAACGAAGTGTTGATTAAAAAAATATCAAAAAAGTCGTTGGACCTTTCATCACTGCTGCAGATTAATGATTTATAAGGAATCACGTAATCTGCTGACAGTGCTGAGTGATTCAACATTAAATTGCTCTTTATTTATGTATTTATTTAGTTGGTTAGCAATTGTACACACTGGTTTAATTTGCAGAGGTTTATTGATAGGGATTGATTTGCCATCTAATATTTAAAATAAGCTCCTATAGTATAGGTTTTATCTCTGCAACGTCATCTTTATAGGGATAGTGGTGGTCTAATGGATAGTGAGGTGGGCTGAAGATCGGAAGGTTGTGAGTTCAAATCCCGCCAGGAACACCACCACTAGTGTGCCCTTGAGTAAGGCACTTAGTCCTTAGTTACTCCAGGGAGAATGTACATGAATTGGTCATTGTAAATTGCTTTGGATAAAAGCATCAGCTAAATGTAATGTTATGGATCATTCTGGATTACAAATTGTAACGTCGTTAATATTCTATTCTCTCCTTTTCAACCTTTAATTCTTTTTTACAACAGATTAAGATATACCCTGGGAAGGTTATTTTTTTATGTGTACTGTTTCAGTTTGCATACAGCACAGGACTGCAGTATCAAACGTATCCCACACTAAACTGTAGTATAGCATGTACATTTATACTTCCTAATATAGCTCTACTTTAAGGGGTACTCCTGGAAACCAGCACAATGTACATGTGATGGATTAACCGTTAGATTTGTCATAATGGCACCAATTCCACATCATAATTACAAACACTTACACTTCAAACTATGTTACCTGTCTTGTACTGGACTGGACTGCATGTGGGTTTCTCATTTCATCTGCTTCAGTTCACCTCCAATTAGTCTCTTATTGAATCTTAACCTCATATTACTTTGGCAAAAAGCAATGGTAAAAAATACATGTGGTCATTTCGCTCAATAATCTATCTGGCAGTTTAAATGTGAAACCTTATGTTCTAACTTTCATATTAAGTTATTTGCAATTGCTGTTACTTAAAAGTTGCCAAAAGCTACGTATAACAAGATTTAATCAGGAATATGGAGTATCAGATTTTGAAACTGGATTCAAATTCAATAAAATGCTTTGGAAACCCGACCCTAATCCCAAAACATGTCAATGCAATCTTCAGAAATCTTCATGTTGCAATTTCATAATCATACCTCTTTATTCAAGGACTTATATTCATATAAAATCTATAGGTACAGTCAAAATGACTGTGGGAGAGACAGTCAAGTAACAGATCAGGCAGCGAAGGATTCAGCCATTCCAGAATCTCTTTTCTGAGAAAGAGCCTTGTTTCCACTTTGGTGGTAATTAAATGTTATTCAAGCTCTCTTTTTTTGTCTTTACCTGAAACAGATACATTGTGTGTTTAGATAATCAGAAAATACAACAAGGAAACAAAGGGTACAAATCATGGACTGAATGAAGTCAAACAATTCCTCTTCTTTTTTTCTTTTTTTTGCACATGCACATTTTCATTTCAGAACATGCAATCCCGGACATGTCCAGAGGGGGCAGTCAAGAGTAAAACTGTAAGAGGAAAACTTGGCACCCTGTTCATGTCACGCTCGTTGGAGGTCTGGAAATGTTGTTTTGAAAAATCTACTTGAGAGATGAACACCAATCTCTACTCCATTAGGCAACGTACAGCTTTTTTTTAAAGACAACAAGCAATCTATTACGTTACCTTTACACATACCAGAGCCACGCCTACAGTTAGACCTTATTGCTTTAAAGTCTAAAACAGCTCCTTTTAGATGATCCATCAAATAGATTGCACACATATGGGACAACAGGAAGTTAGGGTTAGGGAAATAATTGGATCAAATCATGTTAGCAAATCATTTACATGTTCTTAAACTTGCTTAGCACCAAGAGATGTAGACACCGAGAAGATCTAATCTGTATTTTGATTCAAAATACTGATAAATAATCTTTCTATAAATGTGCAAACATTTTAGTTTTTAAATAGCCACCCATAATCCCGTTTTGACAAAACCTTTTTCTTAAATCCTTTATCGCAAAACAAAATATATGTACTTGTTCTTTGACCAATTACTCCAATTTAATTTCTATTTATCTACCAATAAGTATTTAATCAAAAGTCTGATATATCTCATGGGCAGTAAGACCCATTGTGTCACAAAAAATGTAAACACACTATTGTTGGTATTGGTCTTTCATTGGATTAGTTGACAATAAGTCATGCCCAAAGGAAAGTGGGAAAGAGTGGAGCCAACATGTTGCAGAAAAGTGGGGAAAAGCTAAATAAAGGCCATCTGTTATTGACAGAATACCTCACACTAAACCATTGTATCAATCAATATGTATCTGGTTTTCAAGCAAGTTTAAAACTGTTCAAAATAATTAAAAAACACAACTTGATCCAACAGTTTTATATTCTGGGTGTTTCTATCTGGGTAGGCTTCATGCAGTCAACTTGCCAACCTCTAAATGCCCTGTGATTCACATATATCAGCTTTGATGCCATTTGTGCCTCAGTGTGTGTTTGTCAGTTAACTGTACATCATATAATACATATACAATTTACAACTCTTCATACATAAATGTAAAATTTGGTCGCAGTCACACTAAAGCCTGAACCTGGAGATTCGAGACGGTAAAGCTACAGGGCAGATGAAGTGTCGTCTTGTTGCATAGCCCTATTTCAAGTCAACAGTCAGCGGCAACAACACAACTCTTTATTGTACCTGTGGATACACAGACAGGTAACCTCTCCTAAAACCCTCACACAATACTGCACTCAGGGGGGGGGGAGAGATAAGTGTAAACCTGGACATTTGGGGAAATATGGCAGAAACAATGTATGCTTGAGGAGGCAAGTGTTGAGATTTGTTGATCAGAAATAAATAAAAAATGGCACTTTTCTGCATTCAGAGACCATTTCTACCAACTGGCTGGCAGTATATTTGAAAGAGAAAGGCAAATGCTTACCACACACCCTTAAGCAAAAAGTACAGACACTATTTTTGACAAGTTCAAGACCCTGGCATGCATTACATCGCTTACTTTGGATCTGTAAATCAGACATACTTACCACAAGATTCAGTACAAAACATAATTGATATTTTTTTGCATTCGGTCCACTATACCAGATTAAAACTTTGTTCTCTACACTTTCCTCAGCCTTGTACACACTCACATCCTCTACTGTATATTCAAGTCCATCTGATCAGGCTGCATCTTAATACATCTTGGAAAACGAGGCACTTAGTAATCAGCCACATAACATCAGAAAAGAGTTATCTATTCCCTATGCGCACTCAAAAAATGTACATCTGGTACAATTTACAAAAACTGATTATGAAAACTGGGCTCTAATTCTAAATCCAACCTCTCACAATGTTACATTTTTTGTCACATTTTTCGGTGTGTCCCTTAGGTTTCATGGCAGAAGTTTAAGATTGACATAAATTGGTTCCATCTGGACAAAATGTGGTGATAACCCCAAGTAAAGGCTGATGAAAAAAAGATAATTTGGTGGAAGCATCAATATGATCAAGTTGTAACTCCTCTCTCACCGACATAGCAACCATGAACAACATTAAACATACAAAAATAAAACAGTGTTGTGAGCAGCCATGTTGATACCAGCTTTGAGGCATTCAGATCACTTCCGCTCAAAGAATGAGGATGGCGTTTTGTCTTCTGCTCCATCACTGATTTTACTGGCCAAGGCAAAATACTTAAGGGTCTTCACAGGTGCTATAGTTTCAGTGCAAGTAAAGGGGGTAGAAAAAGTCATCAGTGTCTTTATATCCTTAAAAGTTTGTTGTATAAAAAAGGAGAGTAACACTATAAAGCTGGAATGGTTTCTGATCCCCTTTTACAGCACTTTCCACTGGCTTTTTCCTCAAAGAGTTTCCTTTTGGATAAATCCGCCGGCTTCCTGTCAGCTCATTGGACCTTAGCTAGAGCGCTGTACAACACTGATACGTTTCCACCACGTTAGCACCAGTCCTCGTCCTCCCTCTCCCTGAGACTCCCTCGGCTCCCAGTAGCAGACGCAGAGTTGCCCCCGAGGGTGAAGTGGAACCCGTTGGGCACCCCCGAGCGACCTTGCGTGTTTGCCGCTGTGACGGACGCAGCAGCAGTTCCTTGTGAAGCCGAGGCTGTGGTGGAGGTGGAGGTGGAGGCTGCGTTTCGGGCAAAGCGTCCCCCTCCGTGGCTACTCACAGAGTCATGGAAGTCCTCTCCATGGGACGCCTGTTGAGGGGAGAGCTGCGACTGGCGGTTTAGATTAGAGTCCGAACCGATGCGTGTGACGGGGATCGGGGACTCGTCGTGGCCCCAGTTTAACCGATCGTGCTCTGAAAGGCCGCGGCTGAAGCGAGTCTGGGGCCCCGTGGTGGCGGCGCTGGCACTGGGCTGGAGAGGCGAGGAGTTGGCGGTCTTGTAAGCCACGGCAGGACGAGGGGTGAGGGGGGTCTGAGGGAGCTGCCTGCGACCGCGGCCCGGAGTGCTCGATCCCGAGGGCAGCGGCACAGCTTTCACCACACTGCTACCATGCTGAGGACACAAATGATATACAACACAATGATTCTGCAGGTCAATTAGAAGAACGTAAATCTAAAATGATCGGAAATATCCAAAGTGTGAAGGATAAGTACTATACCTGGTGATCATGTACAAATGAAAACACCAAAATGAATATAATGAAGTATTCCTGCAAACAGATCCTAAACCTAAATCCTACAAATTGCCTGTTTCCGAGTTCCAAATTGGGGCTTTCATTGGAAAGTGGATTTATTATATATTATCCTTAGTTTTTACAGTTTGGTTTGGTTTTATTCCATCACGAAACAATATGTTGATACTTAAATATATACAGTAGTATTACTTTGCATGCAAATAGAACAATAGAAGTCAATAGAATATGGGTTATGTATTGTATAAGCAAAGACGAAATAAAAAGAAAAAAACAAATAAAAGCTAAGAGTAACCCTTTAACTTCACAGTCAGTTTTTGCTTCAAATCCAATGTTTCACTGTCCAAATAAATCTTACAGACCAAAGGGTTGTGCACAAGCTAGCTGTCAATCACTGAGGAACATATAGCAGTAACTGACCTGTCTGAGCAGAGCAGCGTCCTGCCCCTCTCCGGGGGACGTGGATCTGCTGGGACCGGCTGATTTGGTGTGACACTGCTCTCTGCTGCCGTAACGCTCACAGGAGTAGTAGCGCTGCTTCTCTCCTGCTGAGGAGTGATGCCTCCTCTCATGAGGCCGGCTGCGGTCACGCTCCCTCGCTCGCTCTCTGGACAAACCCTCCGCTGAAGGGTCGGTGAACGAATCTGGAGGACGGCACCATCAAACAAAATCAGGGGAAGAGGGTAGAAAATACACTATATCTCATGATCTATGACTGCATTCAGGGTCATTGTAGTATAGAAATAGTAATAAGGAAGCTACAATTAAATTGTTAGTTCACGTGGGGGAAAACAACAAAGAATTAAGAGGTTTTATACATTTAGAATATCACCCTCCTTTTACCCTCTACATCACCCATTTTGTATTTAGAAAAATCCATATTCAGTCAGTCTTAGATAGTTTTTCAACACTATGGAGCAATGTTTTTACATAAGGGTCCCCATTTAGAACTGTAGTAAACACCATGAAAACTAATAAAGAAAAATAATAAAAAGGATTTTTGTGACATAAAACATCAGATCACAATTCGGTTCGATACAAGACATACGGTTTAGTTTGATGCACAGATGAAACTTTGAACATACTTCAAAGCCAATATGTATATGATTTAAAGTCAAATTAGACAATGCTGGTGAAATTGCTAACACATATTGTACATGTTACATGTTGTGCTATTTCCCTGGGGGATGTCAGAGTCAGAAATGTTCAAAGTGTACGCATGAGGACTTTGAATGAAAATCAACTAGGGCTGTAGAAAAACCTTAGTCATCATTCCTCAGGCGATAACCGTGCTTTCAATTTATAGTTTTTCATATAGACTTGGCCTGCAACACCAATAACACACTCCATCAATCCAAAGAATGTAAACATCATCAACAACATGTGGTCCAGTTTTAGTTTCACGAGACGTATCATGTTTTTGTGATGTGTAATATTATTCCACGATATTTCCCTACACCTCTAATGAAAGACAAATGGCTCGTCTATGTTTGTCTGTATGTGTGTGTGTTGTTATCTCGTCTTTGGGTGTGTGGCATAAAGCAAAGCACTGTGGAAGAAACAACTCTCTCTTCAGCGCTGGAATGACTCCAGTTTTTTAGATTAAAACCGCGATGACAGAAACACAGAAGCCTATTCATCATCGTGATGTGTCAGATCTGCCTCGAGAACGACAAGCTTTGAGGAGTGAAACTCTCCCTCTGCTCCTCCCAGTTTAATAGATGTACAGAGGGCTGTGGGATGTTCTGCTATCTCACCAAGAGGTACCCATAAATCCCTGTGCTGGACCTGTCCACTGTGGCCTTTTATCTCGGCAATAAAGCCCAGCTGCTGCCCTCCAGTGTTAACACAAAAAACACCCTGCCACCCGCTCTCAGGCTCTAATCGCTCTAGCAGACGACCCCTGATGGCAAACAAAGAAAATTACATTGTGATAGAGAATTATTTCACTAGTCACCTTCTAATAATCCTTCACTTCTTTCCTTGCCTCAATTCATGTTTCTCTGTCTGTACAGGCAGCAGGCATTTGGCCTTGAGTGCCCTATTGTATGAAGTTTAGCTGGCGCCTGTTTTCTCAGGATCTCTTCATGAGTTGTGTTAAGAGATGACATCCACCTTATTTGTGAATATGCATAATGCAAGGTTGTCAACATTCTCTCCTTCAGATAATGATAGGATTTCATATATGCAATATGCTCTATACGTTAGAGACCAAGGCCTCTGGAGGCTGTTACTCTTTAAGAAATGTAACTGGTTATGTCTGTCTGAGTGAAGGTTTAATAACTACCTTTAAAAAGAGCCATTTAGGGGAAAGAACTACAGAGTTGTTTTGGCGAGAGGCTCTGACACTACAGTGCTACAGCAAATGGCCTTTTCCATTCTCCCGCTGTAAATTCCAATAAATCAGTGTTCAGTGACATCAGTTCAAAGCTCTCCTGTTCTTTTCCTCAAACTAATATAAAACATCATTGTAAAAGTTATTTACTTCTGCATATCAGTTTGAAAATATGTACTGATGTGCATTTATGGACGCTGCGAAAAGCTGTCCCAAAACCTCACACTGATGGAAAATAATAAACAAACATGGACAGTGTGAAAAGAATGGTATGAAGTTACTGATTTATTTTTAACAAAATGGGTCACTGTTTCTTTATACAGTAGCTGACACAGCTGAATCTTACTTGTCTAACCATAACCAGAAGTGCACCAACACATGTGCTGGGTTTCGGATGATTTTGCTCAGAACTATACTGTACACAACACAGGCAGTTTGTACTGTTGGTCTTAAAACAACCCCATAGAATTAAAAAAAGGGGTACCACAAGGTTCTATGCTGGGTATCTATACTCTTGACAACAGCATTACAATCACAATCTGCCTTTGAAGGTCTTTAGACATCTCTGCATAATTTCAAGCCCACACTAAAAGCTGGCAAAGCAACATCTGTTTTATTTTTCAATAACCATTGATTCCAGTTTGCCATCCCATCCCATCCATAAATTAGGACAACCTTTTATCGTTATGTGTGAAGTCAGTGGAGCTCAGTCTACATTTTATAAATACAACTGTTAAGGGTCATGGGGAACAAAGGGAGCTACTTATAGAACAAAAAGGAACAGAAATCCCCAGCAAAGCAGATTTTCCTTTGAGAGCTCACAACTCTCTGTGCTAATCAGATGGAAAGCCTGACATGTAAAATCCCTGGATGAAGCGCAGCAGAAACCCCTTCACCTACATAACCCGATCATGGAACCTTAATCCTATAAAGAATTTCTGCAGCTACGATGAGACATCAGAGTAATCTACAAGGAAAGCCTGGCCTGCCATCGCTGTCTCTCCATTAGTGCTGCCAAGTTTCTAAGTTTATCGCTGTATTATATGAATAGCCCAGTCAAAATAATGAATCTCTCAACAACCTATAATAAGCCACTTCATTTACTTGTATCATACTTTAATACCTTGACTATTAAGCTCTATTTGATGACATTCAGTAAAAATGTTTTACACTCATATTAGCGTTGTAGACAGAGCGTGTGAAGCAAGACTGTAACCCTTTTTTCTGTGTGGCCACTACTGTTAATTACAGGATAGCGGCACATCTCCCTGCTGCATTGTGAGCGTTCCAGTGGCATCTAGCTGTGACGTTGCAGATTGCAATCAACTGCATACCATTCTGATCACCCCTCTCTTTTCTAAGCGTTATGAAGAACCCATGGTGCCCGTCAGGTAACACACAAAGACGAGAAGCCCTCTCTAGCGCCAAAGTTAGTTAGCCACCTCTCAATCAAGGTAGCTACTCCTTGAAACATATGCTGCTTTATAATCTATTTACATTTCCAAAATCAATAAGGTGCAATTTTGAAGAGGACTTCAAACAATCAGATGAGACCATACACTCTGAAAGCAAAATGTAACTCAGATGATAAATCAAGTGAATTTTCTCATAGACTTCTGTACAATTTGACTTCAGTCAATCGTGCTGAATATTAGAGAGAATCCAAGTATAAGGCTCTTTCCTATTGGCTTCACTTTTACAACAAATGGGGGGCAATACATTCATTCAAATCATTCACACTGCTCTGTTATCCTCATCAGTCACAGACAGTGATTGTAATGCTTGTTTTACTTAAAGGTACCTTACTGAAATGTGAATAAAGGCACTTTCATCTATGTTTGTCTCACCAACTGTGCTGGATGGCTGCACTGATCCAGCTCTATCCAGAGACTTTTGCTTCTTGTCTTTATCTTTCTCCCTGCGTCTATGGCAGCGGTGGTGGTGGTGATGGTGGTGGGCTCTGTCCTGGTCCTGGATCTGACCTGGGCCCGTCGGGGACTGAGCCAAACCGGGCCGTTCCAGGTCATACTCCCTCAGCCCGACCTCCTGGTAGTGCTGCGGCATCAGCGAGGAGGCCGAGCGCTTGATGGGACTCAGGTCCACAATCGGCTGAGAGGGTAAAGAAACATGATGATGAGTAGGAAGAAAAGAAAAGGAGAGGGGCGGCTGTGGTGGTTACACCAAAACCACGTATACTGGATCAACAAAATAGCCACAACACACAAACGACACAACCAGTGGACGGTTGTCTTAAGACTGACGTTCTACCCGTTCTTCTCTACGCACAGATGTAAGAAAAAAAGTGAGAAGAATGAACACAAATCTGTGACAAAACTTGAATACTTACCGTTACAGCACTTCTGTAAGCTAGCAGTAATCTCTGCTAGTCAAAACATGAGGGGGGTTGTGGACATGGGCCTTTGTAGCATATTTTGGCATTTTTATAATTTCATTTCTGACTTAAGTGTACTTTTCTGTAGCAGCTAATACTTGCATATTTACCAAAAGGATGATTCCACTAAAACATGTAAAGATGTCATACTAAATATAATTCAATATTGTTTTTATCACTATGACTCACTTGGATGATGAGTAACCCCTCTCCCATATCACATTGTTTTAATATAGTCATGTGAGATGGATTATGTTTGGCTTTAAGTATTCAGTGGTGACATAAACCAATCATTCTCCATGGATTTATACTGGCACTAATGCTTTGAGGACATTGACCTTCACCCCACCTCATCTGATCTGACTGACAGTGCAACTAGCAGGCAATAGACTGATGTAAGAAGGAACTGGAACAGCAGCTAACTTACCACCCCACCTGGTGGCTACTGCATGGATCATGTCTGATTATTATAGGTAATAGTTTTTCTTTCATGATTTTAGTTTCCGAAAGTATCAGTACATATTCAGACAGCTTTGCATAGCGTTGAAAATGCATCTATGTCATGTTATTATAGGAACGTTGGAAAGCCAGTATATGACGCAGACTATATTTATATTCATTAACAGACAGATTTAGGGTGGTTGTGCTGTTCCTCATGTTCCCACCTCACAGCCTGGCCTGTAGCTATAGTCAGAAACAACAATATCACAACACTTTGGAAAATATCCATATTAACAAGTCATTTTATATAGTATGCAGTCTTAAAATCTTAATTATCAGTTGAATTGCTAGTAAAATAACCCCCCCCTTTTCTTTCAAACTACTAAAAGGAGTCTGAAAGTGAGGTTCAGTCAAAAGGTCAAGCGATAAATTAGACTTTGCTTTTGTATTTGTGTGCTACAAAAAGATTTTAAGACTGAACGTAACATCAAATGACCGATAAGGTTAGACGTATTTTATGGTTTAGTTAGAAGAAAAAGATAAAAATTGTTATTTCAAAGCAAGAAAGCAGCAGTACTGTCTCCGCCTTGTTCCAAAATCACACACAGACTCACAAAAAGACACTACTACACTACTACATAATGAAACTCACATCCAGTACACACCACCACATTTGACTAAAGTGTAATACTGTACTGTAATGTAAATATGTTTTTCAATTCCATGTCATGACAGGAATATACTGTATATGTAAGAGGATGTGAACTCTGCACTGATATGAGGAGCGCATGGAGGCAAACACAGACATGACAGAAGAAGAAGAAGAGGGTGTAGGAGGGGACGAGGAGAGGAGGAGAGAAGAAGATCTGAAAGAGTGAGGTGGCACAACAGGTGGTACATACTGCCAGGTGGGTCCCAGGGGCGTGGCGAGGGTGGCTCCGCTATCAGACAGCACACACAAGAGGGAGGTGGGCAAACATTAGCAGTGGGCATCAAATCAGAGAGGGAGGACAGAAGAGGAGAGAGGAGACTCAGGAAGCATGAGGCTGGTGAAATTCGGTATTTAATTATTGACAATAAATACTATGACAAGACCAAAATCAACACTGTGTTTATCCTTCTCATAAAAAGTGTCTGTGTATCTTCAAAGTCTGAGACACTTATTTCCTCCATCTGCCATAAAGCTCACCTGTTTCCCAAAAACACATTGTTGGGCCACACTGGGTAAAATGCTACTTTATTACCATGAAGGCATTCACATGTTTTGCTCAAACATACTCTATGCTGTTAAAATAGTAACTGACGGACTGGAGTTAAGAGAGGAAAAATGCCGATTGAAAAATGTCCCTGACAAATACGTTTTGTCTGTCTTATTTGTGTAACATTTGCTAAAAAACTACAGTGCCCAGCTTTTCTATGAAATAGTCAAAGTTAAAATCTGGAAGATATCAATGTTGTTCTCTTTTACTGCCCTGATGAAGACGGTCTTTCATCCTACTTGTCATTAAAGCTCTTTTATTTGTTTCTCCACCCTAGTAACTGTTAAAATACAAGTATACGACTTCAAAACCGATTGAGTTAATGAACATTCCTGTTGTGTTAGCTCCATATCCCCCACGGTGTTTGGAAAAACTACTGCTGGGTGATGGAAAACAAATACTAAGGTGCATTAATACCAAAACACGGTGGTCCTGACATCAGCCATTGTGTGATCTGGACTCCTGAGTTGGTTAGACATTTTTTACTCATCAATATCACCACAGACACCTAGCTCTAATACTGCAAATGCATTGGGCTTCCATTAGTGGTCCCATTAGTTTAAATCTGTACATAAAGAAGGACTTTACAAACTGCTGGTTTTGGTCTTGTTATGGCATTTGTTGATAATGAAAAAATATGTAGAATAATTTTTCTTGAAAGAGAATAGAAAGAGTAAGAGGTCAAAATGCAACATAAACATAAGGAAAGCACATGTTAAGTGCGTTGGGACAAAAACACAGAGAAGCTAACAGACAGGTGAGACAGTCCAGGAGACAGACAAGTGACAGACAGAAACATCATCCTGACATGAAACAAATATGCAACAGACAAGAGCCGCTGGTAACTCACAGAATGACAATGAAAGTTAAACAATTATCAGAAGACAGTAAGTGAAACTCATTTAAATCAAGGGATACGCAAAACTCAGATGATAAATTAGATTGCAGTTGAGTTTGACTATTGTATGAACTATAAAAAAAGATGATAATAATCCAACCGAAGACATTTAAAACATTATAAAATAACATCCATAAGATATCTAAGATAATTAACTCACTCTGACAGTAATGTATGTTATGTGTTAACATGCTCAGGTTATCTCGATGAGGTTCAATACTTACATGTGCAAACAGTATCTGTAATCCATCAAATTATTTTCATTCTCAATACAAAAGGACTTAATGAATTAAAACACTGTGGATATGGTGGAAAATAATATTTAGATTTTTGAAACTACTACTACCATATGATAAGCCTCATAACCCTAGATGCACACGGTACTAAACGCAGAGATGCAAATGTGGTATTGATCTTCTCATGCAACCCTAAAAAAAAGATGGAAAATAAGTATTTTTTCCCATAAATGCAATCTAAATATAAAAAAAAGTCTGTCCCTTTGTGTACATTTGTAAAAGTTGGCACACTGTTTAACCAGCATTTGATTTTTTTTGTGTCTTTTCATAACTTTCTTATACAAATCAACACATGCACGCATCCTTTGCTGAGTCGATCTCTCTCCACACTGTGGATATGGTGGAAAATAATATATAGATTTTTGAGACTACTTCATATGATAAGCCTCTTAACCCTAGCTGCACACGGTACTAAACGCTGAGCAGCAAAGTCTGTCCCTTTGTGTACATTTGTAAAAGTTAGCACACTGTTTAACCAGCATCAGATTATTTTTTGTGTCTTTTCATAACTTTCTTATACAAATCAAATCAACACATTCACGCATCCTTTGCTGAGTCGATCTCTATCCTGAGTTTCCTCATCTGTGATAAATGTGAAGTTGTCAGAGAGGAGAGGTGGTGCGGGGGTCAGCAGGATGAACTGATGTGGACTGACAGAGCAACAGAGCGGCTCACGGCTGCTTCACTAAAGGGCTACCACTCAGTATTGCACCAGCCTTTGTTCAGCCTACCTCATCCACCTGTTCAACTGCCAAAGACGGACATTTCTATCATTTTGTACGTCATGTTTTACACTGCAGAAGCCACTGTTAGATGATTTCTCAGGTACTCCACGCCGCTGTAAAGCTTACGTAGTACTCAGCGTTGAGTCTGGGCAGAGAAGCCGCTCTGCAGTGGCCCTCCAGGCTCGGATATGCCTCTGAGTCTGAAATGTCCTCCACCTTCGTCAGCTCAACAAATTCCTGCATGAAAAAAGAACATGTAGTACAGTGTATGGGGGTAACACAGAACAATATAATGTAAAATAACATTTGAAGATCAAGTTTCCTTGGAGTACCTGAGGTCTGGTGGTGTAGGGCACATCCTCTGACTGGCCTCTCTGTAGTTTCCTCCGGACTTTGGGTCTCTGTTGTGCCATCTGAGAAACGTCTCCGGACTGGGAATGTTTTATGACCCTCGTCTGGTTTAGCCTGTTTAAAAATACACAAGAGCTCTGACTGTAATATTGGCAGCTAAACAGCGTGAAGGATAATATTTAAACTGAGGAAACACCTTTCTTAGTGTCAGTCTAAACTGTTTAATAATGAAGATAGTTTCCTTTTTTTCAAGTAATAATAATAATAAACGAATTGAACACAATTCCTATATATTGCTAAACATATTGTCTTGTACCTAAAGATTATTTGACATTAGGAATACAAAAAAGCTACACATGTTATGGATATATTTTGTTTCTTCTGTAAGACGTATCGTACGGTAGCCCTGAGAGGAAAGTCAGAATTTAGTTTAGCTAAATTAAGTCTAAACAGGACTAAAAGCATATAATTGTTCCTGCATGTGAGTTTTCATTTCTCGAGGCACTCCAAAAACAAGGTGAACATACAGTATGTGATCATGACAGTAATGTATCACACAGAATATATGTGTGACAGTTACTTACGCTGTGTCCCTGCTGATGGAGGGGATGCTTGTACTGGGCAGTGCCACTAGCTTGGTTTCTGGCTCAGGCTGGGGGGGGCTGGGCTGTTTGGGGAAGGGGAACGTTGGTTCTACTTCCTTTATCTGAGTGAGGGTCAGCACCGGACGGAACAGTTTACTCTGCAGGACAGATTGACAACGTTTATTCACACTGAAAGAGATCAGTTTTTACAAAAGGTCAAATGTAGTTGTACTTAAATGAAAAAGAAGTATTTTTATTTAGTCTCGTATTCAGCTTTCAAAACTCAATTTGGTTGAAATAAGTTTCCCTTTATTTGAAAAATCGCGTCAATGATGCATGTTGCTGAATCAGTAAAAGGTAATCTCTTAAAAATAGTTCCTGTTGCCATTAGTTGTATATGCACACGTGTATATAAAGCAATCTCATCCAGTTATAAGATGTATTGTACGTTTTCTTTCTCAATTGTACAATACAGATTATGACTAAAACACAGTCAAGATTAACATACAATAATCAATTACAATATTTTCCAATCACGAAAAATCCAAATAGGTAAACAAAAAAGACTTGAGAATTTCATGAAACTATGACATTTGGGCTACCACAAAGCCTGATTATGAAACAAGGTATTAGACTTACATGTGGTTTAATTCAGGAGTGTCTTAAATGAGACTATACAGTATGGAATTAACTGAAAACTGTAGATGATGCATCTGCTCCTAAAATACAGTATAATGGAGTTATATCTTGTTATTCTTGTTTCAGTCAGCACTAGAACTTCTTATCACGCTGTACCTGAGGTAAGCCTGTGTTGTTCTGCTGCTGGAGTCTCTTGGCACAGGTCTGCTTGTAGTAGTCAAAGATCATCAGAGCTGCGTAGACCTTCCCCACCGTCAGCTCGTTGTCTGGGGGAGAGGGGAGAGGGGAGAGGGGAGAGGGGAGAGCGGAGAGTGAGAGGCAGTTCCTACAGGTGGCCAGAAGATGGCGCCATGTGATCAACAACATAGGTCTCAGAGAGAGCCACAGATGTGTCAAGGATAAAATGTTTTTCACAGAGAAAACTATTTATGACAGACTTAGAAAATAGATCACAATAATTGTTTTGCTTCTCCATGCTTCCGTAGATGATTTTATTATTTCAATAACAGATAACTGAGTAGATAGGAGGGAATATTTTTGAAATAACCACCATGGCCCCTAGTAGACCCCCACACACATAACAGTCTGTGTTGTTGTGTGTGTGGGGGTCTACTAGGGGCCATGGTGGTTATTTCAAAAATATTACATTTAAATACATTTTTTTTTAAATACCCCTTTTTGTTAAATACCAACTATCAGAATCAGAATCCCTTTATTAGTCCCACAGAGGGTAAATGTACGTTGTTACAGCAGAAAAGAGCCACATACAGCTTAATGTTACATATGTTACATATGTTACATGCATTAAAAAGTACTAAGTAAAAAAAAAAAGTTAAGATATAATATAAAATATAATAAAAAATTAAAAGTTACACAATTTACAAAATACACATCCTGTAACAGTTCTTAGGATTGAGCAGCCAGGTATATATTGCACAGTATATATGTGCAATATGTGCAATATATATATATATATATGCCAATAATAACTGTGCAATATATACCTGGCTGCTACATCTTCAGAACTGTTACAGGATGTGTATTTTGTAAATTGTGTAATTTTTTATTTTGTATTTAATATTTTCTTTATGCATGCTTCTTAGTTAACACTAAGCTGTCTTTGGCTCTTTTCTGCTGTAACAAATGTACATTTCTCCAGGTATTCTGATTCTGATTCTGAAAGGGTCAAGTGGACAGCAACTCACATTTGGGTGGGGTCACCAGCAGGTCGACGGTCTTCTGCGACAGGCTGGGCCACACGCGGGCGATCTCCCGCTTCAGGTCAGCGTCGCACAGGTGCTGCGCCAGGACCCCTGAGGATGGGCCCACAAACATGTCACATCAACTCTGCACCACAGCCATCACAGATTTCAAATCAGAGCCATCAGTCCGGCCACGAGGCATTCTGGATCTGTAGTTGTAGGCGCTCACCAGATGCCAGTTTGATCTCCAGCGCCGTGCGGATCAAGGCCATCAGCGTGGAGGTGAAGTGCACCGTCTTGTCCTCCGCAATGGGCATGTTCATCCTCACCAATCGCTGAGAGGAGTGGGAGCAAAGAGGAGGGACCATGAATCAGGAACACACAACCAACAGCACATTAGAACTGAGGCTGGATTGAATAAATAACTATAGTAGAAATTAGTAGTTTTAAAACTAATTCTTTAAATAATAAATGAATGATTTTCATTTTAAATGATGTCAGTTTGTCATCAGAGTCACCCTACCAGTAACAGTTACCATAAAACAACTGGTGGAAAACCCCTATATAGTTACGAGTAAGGGTTGCAAGGAGTGACTATTTATATTAACGCTCATCCTATACATTTAGGTTCTGATGACCATTTTTTGTCTTTTAGTCTACAAAAAAGAATGAAAAAAGTCCATCCCAATTTTTGATTTCTTTAGTCTGACTAATAGGGTGAATCCCAAAGATATTTAATGTACATGATATGAAACAGAGAAAATCATCATATTGTCACATTTGAGAAGCTGGAAGCAGTGAATCTTTGATTTCAATCTAAATATTTCATAATAATAATAATGCTTTCATTTAAGTTTCCCTCAAATGTCTTCTAAATTAGCCAATGCATCTTTTTAAGCCAATGTAAAGGTCTCTGCCAGGGTGCCCACCATACACCTTTTTTAAGCTAACAGCAGTAAACACATGAATGCATGGAGTTTAAAGCTGCTGCCGTTGCTTTGAGACTTTTGCAAATCCATCGAAAGCATAGCCTTTTCTGCTAAAAGCTGAAATATGATTAGCTTGTGATGCTTACCAGTGTGCGCTCAGAGAACATGCTAAGCTCTCACTGCTGCTGGAGAAATGCAGCAGCATGTCTTTGTTCTGAAAATAATGACTTAGAAGAGAAACAGGGAGGTTGCTGCTGGACAGGAAACTGTCCATCAAACTGTTACTGTACTTAAGACGCTAACAAGATAAGGTCTCATCTTTACTCACATGTCAGATGTAGACTGACTGAGTTATGGGTGGCTGTAATCTCCCCTCCTCTCCAAACACACTGTACGGCTACACTGTCAAAGATAGGGTGGAAATCCACATTCATTGCTCGTTGTGAAAATGTATTTTTAAAGGGTTTTCCCAGCAACAGACATGCCGAGCATGCAAAAAAACACTGTGAGAGATCCCTCCTTAAGTCTGCTAAATCAAACTGCTGAGGCCTTTCATTAGCTTTAACTGAACTTTAAAATGTGTGCACAGAATGAAGATTGTTCAGAACAATTCTATAGTGTCGTTAAAATAATGAAATTCTTTCATTAAACCACTTCCTATCAATGAAATTCCTGAAAAATGAAACCTGAGTTGGTTTTAGAATACTTGCTTAGAGTATAAATGGATTAATGATTGAGATGAATCACTTATTGTCAACCATTTTGATAAAGATTAAGTAATGTATCCATCAAACATCTAACATGTGTCCAATGTGAGGATTTGCTGCTTTGTTTCTGGTTTATATCAATAGAAATGGGAAATCTTTGGACTTTTTTCAGACAGTTTGTAAACGAATGGATTTATTATTTAATTAAAAAAAGTCTTGCAGCCACAGAGGCTTATATTTATTTAACCACTATTTCTACATTAGGCTTCAGAACTCAAAATGCATCAGGCATTCATTTTGTAAAAGTAAACAGCTATCAGCATAAATCCACACCATGCAGGGCTTTGGATCAATGCTTCATTAAAATGATTCACACACACACAAACACACACACACACATGCATGTTTGAGTTAGTACAACACATTGACAGTGAGGCTGGGGGGGGGGTAGACACATGTGCTGGATATAGAACTTCTAATTAAAAGAAATAAATTAAGAGCCGAAGGCGGAAGAAAAGACCATCAGAAACATTTGAATAAAAAAAGGAGAAGGGTAGCTGATGCTTTCCATTCTCTTTAAGCCGAGATGAGGGGACAGACAAAAACATACAAGCTGAAGGGATGGAGAGATGAGAGGAGGAGGAGGATTAACTGGAAAGCATCTATGCATGTGAGTCTTCCATCTTTTCATAGAGAGTAAGAATGACAATTGCAGATCTTGAGCATCAGAAAAAATAGAAACACATGGAAAAAACACCTATGGCACACACACACACACACACACACACACACACACACACACACACACACACACACACACACACACACACACACACACACACACACACACACACACACACACACACACACACACACACACACACACACACACACACACACACACACACACACACACACACACACACACACACACACACACACACACACACACACACACACACACACACACACACACACACACAGGGAAGTTAGAGGAAGGAGAGGAAATAAATCCCTGGAGAGGGTGAAAGAAAGATCATCCAAAGCAGAGAGTGAAGCTTAGGCCTGAAGACAGAACGTGAAAATGGAAACAAGAATGTGACGAGGAAACTGTGACTGTCAGGGGAAGATGTGTTCATTAGGGAGGGAGGGAGGGAGCGAGGGAGGGAGGGAAACAAAGTAGTGGATGGCAAAGTATAGAAGAAATAGAGATGGGGAGAAAAACCCTAGCCTTGCTCTCATGTGCTGCTCTCTCTCTCTCTCTCTCTCTCTCTCTCTCTCTCTCTCTCTCTCTCTCTCTCTCTCTCTCTCTCTCTCTCTCTCTCTCTCTCTCTCTCTGTGTGTGTCTTTGTTCGTGTCTTTCTCTGCCGATTCACAAAAAGACATTTTTAACTGGGGCGAGGGCAGGACTGCCTTAAATGTGATTCATGTGGACAGCTGCGTGGGCGCACGGCAACCATTCACGCAAAGCCTGCATGCTGCGAGGTAAACAGCTGGCACAGGGACTACCTGAGGATCGTTGACTCTAATAGAAGAAAAGTCTTACATTGAATCATGAAATAAGTCATTCAAGTCAGAGCAGAGGCTGTTGAGGAGACGGGGAGAATGTTTTTAAATGACTAGCAGTGTTCACTCAATAATGATCGTTGAATACAGAGCCTTAACTAAATAGTTGGGTCCTTTCCAAAACGTTACACCGCATTTGATTTATAGTTTAGTCCAATGTTACATCTCCTTTTTAACTCAGGTTTTGGTCGCAACCAGCCGCAGATTTCCAGAGACATTGCATGCCAGATTGCACTTTACAGCTGATTTGGTGTGCACTCTGCCCATTGTTTGAAAATGAAATATTATTTTTTTTACCAGTTATTTGACAGGATGCATCTTAAAAGATACAGTCATTTCTTTATCTCACAGATTTCTAAAGTCTGTTAAGAAGAATAAACGATTTGGTTAAGACCAATGTTATACATCTTTGGCTGTGGGAATATAGGGTGTTGCCGTGCAAAGATCTAATCACTTTATGTAGACTTCTGTGAGTTCACAAAATAACATTTGAAGATGCAACCTGGTGATCAATAACAGGTAACAAATATAAATACATTTACCCCTAAGGTTTACATACAAATCCCGGGGTAACATACTTTCCTGAAGTCATACATGGGGTTTTGTCTCTACCTCATCCCGAGAATAAATTAACTGGCTACTAGACATTACACTTTCAAGATGCCCAAAAACAAAACCTACAAGCTATTAAGAGGCTCACTAAGAAGTCAAATATTAAGGTTTTAATCTCTGATCTATTTGTATTTATCTGTAACATGGCCTTGTTGTAGATGAAATGTACAAAACCCTGGCAGCACAAGGCCAGAGCGTCACAGAGGGACAGAAAGAACAACACAACAGCAGGTCAGAAGAGACGCACTGACAGAAGCCTGAAGATGTTTGACAGGTGGAAGCAGGTGAACCAGAGGTGACTGAGGAGGGGGGAAGATAGGGGGGACGGGGACGGGGACGGGGGGGAGAGGAGGGAAGGAGTGATTCTACCTTATAGGCGACTCGGGGCGGACATTTCTTTCCCAAACCTAGTGGAGGGGACATGTCGCGAAGCATCTCGTACATGTCACGGTAATTCATGCGGCCGCTTCCAGGGGGGAAAGATGGTAGGAGGAGGCCATGGAAGGAGGAATGGAGATTTCCCAGGTGAGGAGGGGTAGGGGGAGTTACATGATAACAGAAGGCGGCAAAATCCAAAAGAGAGAATGGGAGGGGGGAAAAGAGGAAAACACAGAAATCCTTGTTAATAAGATTTCCAGGATATGATGATTTGGATACCATCCTAGTTGGATCCAAGGATTCAGGAATGGATCCCAAAGGAGGAGGGAGGGGGAAATGCTCCGGAGGACCCCCTGTGCACAGACGCTGGATGAAGAGGGGAAGATATGCATTTGGGAACGAGAGCGCAATTTATGTTAAAGCCACTGAAAATGTATCTTTTGAGTATCACACATTCACCCGGCTGGCTCTAGGAAGTTTACAGCTTGGATTCCCAGGACAATGGATTCAAGGCAACCAAGTCTGGAATCTTCCTAAACCGCTCCAGCAAATATAATCCCCTTCCTCGCTGTGAGCCGTATATTTGCTCTACTCCAATTTCCAATAGATTACTGTACTGCATGCAGCAGAGTTGCAGGACTAGTTCATGGCAAGAGAAGAAGAAGGAAACAGAAGAAGTCTATCTAGCTCTGCTTTTCAAAATATTGGTTTAGTTTTTTCCTTTATCCCACTGAGGTTGGGATGTTTACTCCCAAGAGAATACTCTTATTGAGTTTATTTAGAGATTTGAGTGTTTTCAATTCACAGAACAGAAATGACGTGTTTGGAACATACTGAAATAATGTCTCAAGAGGAACGAAATGGATTATTGCAGGAGTGATTCAAGAGTTTTCTGTTTTTCTCTCTTTTTGCCATGACCCTGAGTCATTGAAATACTTAATAACCGCAGCTGACTGCAGCTGTTGTTCTGCTCAAAGGAGGAGCTGCAGACTTTCAGAACCTTTTAAAGGTTGTTTTTATTTCAGAGTCTAAAGATAGATTTTCAGTGGAGTATTTCTTTAACATGCCCTCTGTTTCTGCATGCTAAGATACATTAGCGGTAACCAGAGTGGAAACAAAGCACACAATGCTCTCTTCACTACCCACTCATTTAAAAGCAGGGACATGTTTTAGACATGGCATGAGATGCCTCTTGTTTGAGGCTGACTTGCGGCATTGTTTCGTGCACTCTCCATGGTTACCTGCCAACTGGTTAGTGGAGGATCGATGTGTTTCAGTATGCATGTGTGGTCGGGTCATTCTCAGGGAATGAGAACAGACACTCAGTCCGAAACCATCACAGTCCCTTTGAAAACAAAAGGACTGTGTGGGAGTGCAAACCTTATAAGCCACTCTGTTAGGGCACTTCTTCCCCAGGCCCAGGGGAGGGGAGATAAAACGCAACAATTTGTACATATCCTGATAGCATATCCTCCCGCTGTGAAAAAACAAGACATGTTCAACAGTTTAGGTCACAGGTTATGTCATTACTTGAATAATCTGTTAGCAACGAATAAAGATTAAAGGTAGGGTAGGTAAGTTTGAGAAACCGGCTCGAGATCGCTAGAATTTGAAAATACACAACCGGAGAAAATCTGCCACTTCCTTACAGAGCCCCTCCTCCAACACACACGAACACGCACATGACCAATGAGGGCACGAGATAAGTTTGTGCACAGATGGAAGGCTGACAGGCAGGTAGGCCATCCAGTTATTTTAGCCGGGCCGGCTAAAATGATTGGTCGTGCTTTTTACAGTACTACGGCTTCCACAGATGACATTTATGGATTTTTTGTCAAAGCACTTAAGATATTCATTGCTATCGGGATGTTAAGAGCATTCCATGGAATATAACAAAAAAGTGTATCTCGAGACGGTTTCTCAAACTTACCTACCCTACCTTTAAGGTAGATACTTAAGGAGTTGCAGTATAAAGGAAACAAAGACTACTTTTCCTCAATAGATCTGTATTTTGTGGGGTTCATTTTGACTTTTTTTTAAAATGCACTTTTTTCTCCACATTTTTCATTTTCTTTTTCCCTCAGGGTTGTAGCCATGAATTACAGCAGTGCCTTTCAGAATTTCTTTTTTTTAAAGAAAGGATATATGTGTGATGTGGAGTAATATTTCATCCTTATTGTTTTTGTTTACAATAGTCATGTATATTATGTGTAAACATGCTGGAATCATAATTGTTATATAACAACATGTGTAAATTCTAACTGTTAAAGTCCCCATTCAAATTCCCCAAATATCTATGGAGTATACTTTTAAACTAAATAACTTTTGGATGAAGAGGCATCAAATGTTGAAATCAGTTTAAACAGTTTTCTGAGCCTTAAATACTTTTTTCACTGACATATCAATGAGTAAAAGCAGTCGAACACTGGCTGAATGTAACTGTCGGCACATCTCTGAGAGCAGCTCATTTATATTCAAAGGAATAAATAATAATTCCTCCCCCGTAATGTCTGTCAGGAGATGGCAATTTTGCATTTCACATCTCACACCTCTCTTGGAGTCCTGACTCACTGACAAGGCTCCTGTGAAAACTTAATGAGCCTTACATAATCTGAGACAGATTAGGCCTCACACTGTCTCAGGCAGAACTTGATTGTGCTTCAATCCCGGTAAACACTGACAGTGTGCGGGGCAGAGAGGGCGCAGACATCAACCTTTATTCCCCCGTTAGAGGGATAGAAATGTTCCTCTTCAGTGACAGAGAGAGGAGATTTGGAGCCTGCAGGCTTATAGGCAATGGACGCCGAGCGAAGCGCTGGATTTACATGCATCAGTCCGGCCGACAGGGGGCTCGCCACCAGCCTCCGCCAACGCCGCGCTCAGGCTTAGCGTCAAAATGGGATTTCTCCGGTAGTCATCCTGCTGGAACTCGCAGCTTAGAGTTCCCCGTTTCCTATTACACCTCTTATAAACACAAACACCTTGCTATTTTTGCACAGAAACTGGCTGATATTGGGGACTATACTGTAGCTGTATAGGTCAGAGGTGAGCAGGAGCACTTACCAGGCAGCAGGGTCGTACTCCGCCCACACGCGGATGAATTCATCGAGGTGATGAGGCCCAAGGATGGAGGCGTCCCTGGTCAGATACTCAAAGTTGTCCATGATGACAGCGACAAACAGGTTCAGCATCTAGAGAATAAAAACAATAGATAAAGTGTCAGATAATTAATAATAACAAGGAAAAAAAATTAAACTGCACATTTTATCAGTCTACTAGATTTTTTTACTTTATTGCAGGTATTTAAATCACATTGTATGATTTTGCCCATTTCATTGAATACATTTATTTTTAAATAAGAGAACAGGGAACTGAAAATATAAATAACCAGGATTTCTCAATTTATAAGGGATTATTTTCCTTTTTTAAATCTCAACTGTTTCCACTTGCTGAAAATGTTTTGTCTATACAAATCAATTAATATTACACACAATTTTGATTAAAAAGTAAAAATACCTTTGGGAAAATGGTTTACTGTTAGCAGCTCATTTGCATTTTCTTCTTTTTACTTTCTTTAACCGTTTGCATTTTGTAAGCTGTGTTCATTCTAAGCTGACCTTGTTTACTCCAATCAGTGTCTTCTCATAGCATGCTAAATGATTTCAAAGCGCATAAAATCTGGGTGGAAATAGCCATTACATTTCTATATAATATTCAATACACTCAGAACACGCAGTATGAAAACAGATGGCGTGTTTCCCTTCACACTGACCAGGAAGGAGCAGAGGAAGATGAAGGAGACAAAGTAGAAGTAGGCAAAGTCACTTCCACACTCATTCCCCAAAGTTCCTGTGAGACTATCACACGGCCGGTTACTGAGACACGCCAACATGATCTCATGCCACGCCTCGCCCGTCGCACTCCTGAAACACACACACAGGAGTTATCAGTTCATATACTGGATTTTTCAGACAGCAACATTTTTTGGAATCTAAAAGCAGGATTACCTGAAGAGAAGAGTCAATGCCTGGAAAAAGGTCTGGAAGTTGTTGTGGTGATTTATTGCGTTCTCTTCAATCAGTTTAATGTTTCCAAACACCTGAAGAGGCAGGAGAGCAGCTGGTTATTGAATGCACCAACAATGAAAAGTCAACTGAGGTTACAGAGTTCTGCCCACTCCTCAAAACTGATACCCAAACTCAGACCACACCCACGACATTAAAGCGACTGGCTCGGAGTGACATACATATTTCCTTTCCAAAACACTTTTGGCTATTTCAGAGGACAGATTTCTGCATTTCCTTTTTGTCTCTGTTCATCTCCCTGATTTGAAGTGGGCGGGAGAACATAATGTCATACTTGTTTGCACCAATCAGGATCTACATTTGTTTTAATAAGAATCTAATGAAAGCTGCCTAAACAGCTCTAAACAGCAGATTAATTTAAAATACATTACACTTTAAATGTGGTTGTTGCCTATTTATTCCTAGCTATACATTATAGTGCTTAAGGAGATGTAAACAAGGTAATAGGCTTTAAGACTGACCCAACTAAGCCTAGTGTCCACAGATTTCAGACTGAAGACCCCAAACTGTTTTCAATACCTACAATCATTTTGCATTTTATTATATACATATACATATTATATGTTCCTTTTCTTTTGTTTATTTTACAAAGTATGTTATGCATACCTTTTTTAAACATTGTTATGCCTAAGGTAGCTTTTGTACGAACAGCTTTGGCTGCACGGTACTTTTAGTCATTAGAGAAAAGGGAAAAGCCGTATTGTTCCTCTGAATACATGTGAACTTCTCAATGAAGTCTAAAGTTGTATTTCTTAGATATAAATTCTATCTATGTATTATTTTCCTTATCTGTCACTCGTGCAATATATTCATTATCACAATGTTGTATCGTCCCAAAGCGAGTCTAGTAAAACAACCCAGAGGTTTCTTTTTAAATATGTATTTGCCCCTGGGCATGTCCACCCTGCTGGCCTGAAACCCCCAGCTGCTGGGCGAGGAGACGTCTGCCAGTCTGCCAGCCGTCAAATATGAATGTAGCATCTTGACCTTGTGCAGTACGACAACAAGAACTCACTTCCTCTGCACCCGAACAGTGACAATGTAAGAGGAATGAAAAGTAGATTATCCTCCATCAGCTACCTGTACAAACACCTGCACAATCTTATGCAATCCGAGGCAATAGCCATGCAACCTATACTTGTTTTGTGAAATGTTTAATATTACATTTTCACTGAGACTGTGTCAGTATGTGTGGATGCAGCGCTAGCTTTTAAAGGAAATGTATGTGGTGTTGTTCTGGAGGACATTAACGCTTAAACAACACTTTTATAGCAACACGGCGACAAAATAGCTAGCCATGCTTAGCCTAGTCGACAAGTTGTATCTTGACGTTCTATATTCATTATACATATGTTGGCCATGAGGGTTGTGCAATAGGTCGCCATTGTCAGTATGTGCGTCTGTGTTTGTTCAAACGGTGTATGACTGATGATATGTGTATGTCTCTTAATGTCCACTATGTTTGTACTGTATATGTACATGTATGCGGAACTGCAGGACGGAGTCCAGAACAAATTTCCTTACGGGGACAATAAAGTATATCGTATCGTATCGTATCGTATTCATTATACATAACGTTGTAATGTATAATTGTATCCTTTCTGGATAATGTGACCGCTGATGTAGAATGATTTAATAGTAAAGGTGTAAGCCATCCCAGGCATCTCTGAGAGGAATGTTATTAGCAGAAAAAGGTAAAGACAGCTGTTGATGGGGTAACAAGGCTGTGTATCGTAAGCAGGACCTCCATCACTGAATCATTACAGTCCAACTTCCTTTAGTCCAGCTGCTCATATTCACAACTCACCTGCATTCCAATGATGGCGTAGATGAAGAACAGCATGGCAATGAGCAGGCAGACATACGGCAGAGCCTGAAAGCAAACAGATGAATAGAGTTAAAAGACACTGAGAGACTGATCTTTCCGTCTGCCTCTGCACACACACTCACATATCGAATTATTCAAAGAGGACCAGTGCCCTTGTAAAATTGTACAGTCTTATTTAAGAACCTGCGCAGTCAACCTGACCTGCAGGGTCTGTTTTTTTAATCAGCTATTTTTATCTCAGCGAGGAGGACGCGACAATTTGTTGTAATTAAATAGCCACCTATTAACACTCTGCATCTACTGTCCATTTCCATTGGGCTTAAAAGCTCTCACCACTGACATTAAACCTACTATAAATTCCTTTGGCTGTGCCCTGGCGCTCCGCATTTAACTCGACTGTGAAAATCCCAACTACTGTCTGCAAAGAGCTATTTAGATCCATTCAAACATAGCAAGTCTGCAGTGTGCTCGGCCTGCTTTTAAAGTGCCTTTAACATAATTTTGTTCAACCGTGAATACATCTAACACACAAGCTCAACATTATAACCTCTTGAATAACATTTGTATTCCACTTGTGTCTTTCCTGACTGAACGTCTCTCATCGCTTTTGGTACAGTAGAACACTTCTTTTGGTAGCTGCTACATAAATCAAGTTTCTTACTAGTTGTACACACATATCAAGAGGCACTGTTAGTCTGTGTGTGTAGGTAACTGTGTGTTGACCTTGAAGGACTGAACGAAGGTCCACAGCAGGATGCGGATGGTGTATCCCTGCCGCAGCAACTTGATGAGGCGCGCAGCTCTGAAGAGCCTCAGGAAACTCAGGTTGAGCACCTTATCCTGGGAGGCAAATCAAAGACAGTGTGAGGAAATGAACGCAAGATAAAAAAGGATCTGAAGACACAAAATAAAACTCTTGGAAACAAAACAAAAAAAGGCATAATTCAAAAGCAAAAGAAACACACTCCAAGTTTTTACAGATACAGGTCTGCTTCAGCCCTACTTGGTCTTGTATTACCATTTGCTTATGGTGGCTAACGTTAGCAAAACAAAGGTAGATATTGGAAATGATCTGAGGCTACATGCACACTTAATCTTTTAAAGTTAAAAAACAGCATTTTCAAACCCCTAACACATCAACTACTTTCTTTTGTATGTATCACTGCGCAGAAGGAAGTGCGAATCTATTGACAAGTAGCTTATGGTGGCTAACGTTGTAAACCAGTAGTTAGCTATTAGAAGTGACATAGTTAAGGCTACATGCAGAGTAATACTTGTACTATCGCGTCAACCCCTAAAACATCATCAAACAACTAATTTCTTTGTAATATCTCACTACACAGAAGGGAGTGCGCATCTTTTCAAAATTAGCTTATGGTGGCTCTTTTTTCAAGTCATTAGAAACAACTTTCTTTCAAATGTATCACTCAATTATTGGACATTAGGTTAATGCGCACAGGTTAGTGGTTGAAGTATGGTATAAAGAAAATAGTTCCTACATAAAAACTACAAACAACAAGGTCATGGATTATTTTGAGTAACCTGCTCTTGATTTCTGGAAAGAGATATTGCTGTTGAGCTTTTCTAAACTTCATTTATTTTTACCACGAGCCAAGTGCCATCAAGTTTGGAGAGAAGGCAGACATAACTACGACCGACACCTCCAACACTCTGCAACTCACCCCAAAACTATCCAAATTAATAAAAAGCACTACACAGAAGAAGACATTTTATTTTAGTTTTCCGGTTTGACTGTCACTTGTTCTTATATATACAGTCTATGGTTCAACATGTCATCCTTAAACAGATGTAGACTGTATTTTTAGGCTCTAAAAGTATTGTTTAACAACCATACAGTACAGAGATGGTAGTGATATAGTATAATCTACTTTCAATACAAAACAACCAGACTAAATGACTGGAACATCTTCTGCATTTAACTTCAGCTCTTGTCTAACTGAAATTGCTCCAGATTTTTATGTCGCTGTTAAACCAAAGAATCTAACAATTGAATGGGTGTTTTTCTGTAGGATTCAGAAGGTAGGCAACTTAAACTGTGGGAGAAACAAACGCGCACTGACGGGGGAATTGACAATATCAGCGGGCAACAAGAAAAGCCACTTACCGTCTGGAGGTGTCAGATGTGACAGAGGGGGCAGAGTGAGGGCACAGGCACCAGGACACACACAGCAGAGGATGGAAACAGCGAAAGAGAAAAACACACAGCAGAGGAGAGACAGAAAATAAGACTAATGATCACATCAAAAAGAAAGTCAGACAAAGAAAGAGAGCGATTTTTCCACAGAGAAAGCAACAGAACTTAGCCCTCAATCTCCACAATCAAAAACTGTTCATTCTCCATCTGATTTCAACAGAGGAATTCTAAATGCTGCAAATGGTAACAGCAGTATTTCTCCTCCTGAAGTCCAATTTATTGATTTGCATCATTTCATTTTTTCTCGCTTACAGTTTTGACTTTAATATTTGTGGTTTTGCAGCTAAAGTGGTTTAAAGAAATTGGTTTTGTTTGAAAAAAACAACAATTAAGAGACCCATCTTGAATAAACACAACACATAATACAACACACATAAGTCCTTAAACAATAAGTCAAATACGTGTTTGCAACAATTTCCAAAATATGTCAATACTTCAAAGTTGTTAATTAAATGTTAACGTCTTGATCAGCTTTCTGAGATTTTACAAGTAACAATTGATCAGTCAGCCTAGAAATGACAGAAAAACAAACAGATAATACAACTAATCATAACTTTTACACTTCTTCTACCTTCCCATTATGTTTTAGCTACAGAGGGAAAAAGGCTTTTATTTGAGTGAGGCCAATTTCGACAAACCATCAAAATACATTTTAAATTAAGTTCATAAACTTAGATTTGACATTTTACAAAGACCCAGCTTTTATTTGATTACGTCCTTAATTTGAGAACTTTCAGTAAATCTCCTTCCTGTATCCCAGCATGCTGCAGCAGCTATATATATGCACTGACTCCTGATCAAATGTACAAAGTGACAGGTACAGGTAGAGACTGATGTATGTAACGGAGGACAGAGGAGCTCTTACCTTAATCTCTGTCACCAAGATGTCTGTGATACTCCCCAGCACGGTCACAAAGTCAAACACGTTCCACGCTGCTTTCAGGTAGTTCTGAAACACAAGATGAGTTCATTCAAACGTTGTTATGTTTCTGAGTGTTTTCGGCATTATTTTTTGTGCTTTTCATGTTTTAAGTTTGAAACTGTTCAAACTAGGGCTACAGCTTTGATTTGTTATTTTTGAGCAAGAAATGACTAATCTGATCAAATAGTTTGTTTTATCACACAACACAATGACTGCAGTTGTGAAGCAGTACATAATCAGCGTACTGTGATAAAAAAACATTATTGTTTAAAAACCTCAACTATTAGTTGATTGTCAAAATTGTTGCAGATTATAATTTTTTTCGATTCTATTAAATTACTTTTAATCAAACCCACGACTTTTGATGACTTCTTGACCTCACATATTTTGAATAAATCTTTTTTTTCCAACTTTGAAGAGTTACCCAGCCTATCTATTTCCAATCACCGAATATCAACATTTCGGTAGATTTCATATAGAATTAGATATAATCAGTGTCACAAAACTGTGCAAGAACTTCTCATATTGCACAGTTTACAGTCTTGGAATTTGTTTACATTTACAAATGTGGAGATGCAAAAGTTGCATGGGTTTAGACAACATTTCGATAGATGGAAAAATAATATCGCAAGAACAAAACAAAATAAATAATAAATACACCAAAACACACAGAGTTCTAGACATTCCCTTGGGCACACTTATTTGTATGTGCATATACAACATAACAAATGCTGAAACAATCCCCTGCATAAATAAATATCCGCCTGCAGCCTGGCTCCCTGCAGACCGGTCAATCCTCCTCCTCCTGAGGCTGCAGCCGAGGAGCAGCACAGAGTGTTTAGACCAGCTGATGCGAGTCCATCCGTCTGGGCTTAACAGCTAAACAGGTGGAGGCCAGTGGTGTGTGAGAAAAGCCATTTAATAAATGGGCCTGGTAAATGGAACGGAGTTGAAGATGAAATGCCTCGCTGCAGGCCAGACGGCCCCATGTTGAGGGAAGATTTATTATTTCTCATCCCTTCTTTTTCTTTCTAGTCTGTCTTCCTAGTTCCTGAATTTGAGACTTTAAACCTTTTACTTTGACCGTGACTTCTCACCCATCCTCTGCAAAAACCTTTTGTACTTTAGCACAAACAAAATCACAATCCCTCAGACATCTCTTCAAGTGTGACTAAGTCTTAGTTGCTTCATTAAAAAAAATACATCTGGTTTTAGCATTCACAAGGCAGGCATTTAATGAACTGAGCAGTGGGAGCAGCTTGATGCAGGAGTCACCCTCAGCCTGATTTGCATTTCCAAAGAGAGATTTCCCGCTCGTGTGTAAACAGAAACACAATACAACAGTGAATAATGTTATGGTGTGAGCAGGGTAACAGCATACGGGCTCACCAGCGGGCCGAAGGCAATAATCTTGAGGAAGCACTCCAGTGTGAAGAGGGCTGTGAAGAGGATGTTTAAGTATTTCAGCATGGACTTGTACAGGTCTGGAGCGGGGTCGCACTGAGGACAGAAGACAAAAACTGATATTATTTCTGTTGCATCCTTTACCCCTATTTAATGTTCACATGAGATAGCATACAGAAAACTGAACATGTAAATGCAACCAGCACTCGAGACCAATTATATTTGATTGCTCAGATGCACTCAAGTAGGATGTTTAAAGGGTGTACATATATTCGTCAATCACAGCTGCATACATACATTTTAATATATCATCAGTAAGCGCTGTGGGAGGCTGATCTGAGACTTCACAGATTCCTAACGTGTCAATCACTTTGTCACATTTGTTCACAGATAAAGTTGTAGATTAAAAAATAAGAAATGGTTTTATGACATTATTATATATTATTTTGGCAGCACAGGACAAACCGATGGAGCAGCACTTTAGTCAGTAACAAACTTAATCTACTTTGACTTTAATCTTTGCTTTCACACGGTTTGTACTTTGTTGGAAGTCAACCTCTTCACATCTCTGTGAATCATCCCATGTGAAGGTTATACTTTTGTTATTCTTCCTTTAACAAAGATGTGCCTGATTGACTGAAATGTTTCTCAAATTAGCAGTATAAAAAACATGCTGGTACAATAGGATTTCTCATTGGGGAATATGAATGTGTCTTAATGAACAGTATGTCAAGTGTCTAGGTTTAAATGATTATGATGAAATAGACTATACATTGGAAGTCCCTGTCTTGTCATGTGTTGACTAAACATGATTTCTTGAATCAGTCTATATCGAAATAGTTGTTTATTACAAGTACATAGAGTAAAACTCTAACACAGAAAATACCTCCCCAAAACGCCTCGTTGGAGATACGTCATTGTCCATTTGATTCTTCCATTTCGTTCCGGGTACGGCATGATGTCAAGCCGTACCCGGAACGAAATGGACCAATCCGTGGAGCCGTTACGTTACGTCCGCGGAGCCGTTACGTTAAGCCCCCGCTGATTGGTCCAAATTGACCAATCCACGGACTTCCTCACACACACATCTGTGTGCAGGGAGCAGGCAGCTCTGCTGATTTCTCCTCCCTGGCTGCAGGCTGATAACAGACAGTTGGGATCGCGGCGAAATTCTCTCTGCAGACCCATTCTCACAGCGTTTATCAACCTTTTTCTTACTCAATATCAAGCCACACTTATTGTTTTTACTTCGGCTGTGACTTTGTGTTTGCTCAGGATGAGTTTGGCTGTGTTTGGCTGTGTATCGCTAACAAGGAAACAACACCTCCACGGAGCTCAGCGGCGTTCACAACGTCCCGACCAATCAGAGCACACTGTGCTCACAGGGAGGGTGGGGGCTGGAGCTATTGGAGCTACAACGTGCCGTTAAAGGCAGAGAGTGAAATTCAGTGAACACACGTAGTTTACAGAGATGCTGTATGAGAAACCAATGTGAGTTTGGAAAATTGCACAATATAAATCTATTCTAGTAGACCTCAACAATGGAATTATGATCAGTGGAAATGGCCATGACATGGGCCCTTTAATTCAAATAACTTGTTTTTCAGTGTATGAACCCAACACATCTCTAAAATCATGTTCACAATCGCACAAAGAGTTGAAAATCTGACAAATTGTTAGATATGTAAATGAACCTCAACCCCCCCCCCCCCCCAGGCGAACAGAGCTCCTCCAAGTAATTGCCAAGTCACGAGCATTTCTCCCTGTTCTGCAGGAGTTTCACAGTGGTGTGAGGGTGCCGCTTGATTTTTCAGTGTTGACCGTGTCTCAAGGCCAGGGCAGCGTTGTTGTCATAATTGCATCCCTGCCATAAGAGCTAAATTATTAAATAGTACAGATTTATGGAAACTGCTTCTGCAATTCTCCTCTTTAATATTTAAACAGTGTGCTGTATCATATGTGGAGCCGAAGTTGTCTGAGCCAACTTTTTCTCTGGCAGAGTTGGATGTGAGAGGACGGACTGACCTTCATCATCAGCACGACTGTGTTCAAGGCGATCAAAGACATGATGGCGTACTCGAACGGGGACGACACCACAAACTTCCACATCTTGTACTGGAAGGACTGCTTGTTCGCCGGCATGTATCTGGTTAGCGGCTTGGCGTTGATGGCAAAGTCGATACAAGCCCTCTGTTTGAGGAGACAAAAACACATGTATGAATCCACTCCAAACAGGAACTTCCCACTGTGCATCATAGAAGATAGAAGTGCTGGAAAATCATAAAAACATATAAGACAGCTGGCACGCAACGGGGAGGTTTTTCCAAGAATGTTGTGATATCAAACAATGAGCCTACAATTTGAGGCTTTCTGATCACAAGCCAATGCTTTACAGACAAAGAGCAGCATGATTGTACAAAGTGTGTGTGAAGTGGAGATGAAGAGAGTGGAGAAGATAAACCCCACTGCTTTGCTTCACTGATTTGCTTTGTTTGATGGGAATCATGTTGGACATAATGCCTGGAAGTGATGTTCAGCATGTGCTTGGATTTCTATCGAAGAAACATTTTCATGCACCAGTGCTTCTTTAGAAATAATCAGTGTGTGTTCTTGGGAGAGGGTTTTTTCAGGAGAAAAAACCACAAAGTGCATAATTTAGTTTCCACTGTTCTCCCACCTCGTTCTTCTCCAGGCTGCACTCCGACATGGCCTTGTCTCCCTGCTCCTGGAAAGTGATGATGATCAAAGCCACAAATATGTTGACGAAGAAGAAGGGGAACACCACGAAGTAGACCACATAGAAGATGGATGTCTCCATGCGGAAGCCAGGGCTGGGGCCCTTGTCCTCGTAGGTGGCGTCCACAGAGTGCTTCAGGACCCTGGAGAGAAAAAACTGATGAGCTGCAGAGAAGAAAAAACTCAAAACGCAATTTCTAACATGTGATGGCCATCTAATGTTTGTTTTTCCTGCTTAAAAACTTCAACAATTCATTTATAATAAAAATGTTATGCCATCATCTTTTTAAAATGTGATACAGGCTCTCCAAATCTTACTTTTTGGGCATCAGACCAAGCGCTAAATACATTTTTACACAATGTGCAATTAAATGCGATTCCAAATCTCTGAAGAGAAACAGCTAACCAGCTTGCCTCATCAACTTTGACCCCACTTTCCTCTGTAACTCAATGAGATAACTCCTGAAAGAAGCTTGATAAAACAACAGTGAGTGAAATAAATGTGTCTAGAAATATCCAGGAAACCAAAGAGGTCTAATCAGCCTGCCTGTAGGTCAGGAGCCATCAACATTTGGAGGTGAGGGCCCACAGATTATTACAGATGTCTCAGTGAGTTATTGAGGGCTCTGACTCTCCTGCTGTGATGCCAAGTGTTTGTTGGTTCTGTGACATACTTTGTTGAGCACTGTCTGCACACTTTTCATTAGTCGGCTCATAATATATGGCTGTGTGTGAAGCACTATGCAACTTTGAAGAAGTTCCCTACGAATAAAGTTGGTGAAGATCACTCTTCATCAGGTACCAAAACATTATGGTTGGCGATGAGGTCATGTTTACAGAGTTCACATCAACGCCCTGGGAAGTGGACATTTCTGTAAGCTTGACAAGTTGTGACATGTTTGACAATGTGTGCACGACTGCCCATGTGACCTTACCTTAAATCCAAATGTATTATTGGAACTATGTAACATAAATAATACATATAAAACAGAAACAGTAATTTCCAATCTTTAACATCCATCCCACATGACATGAATGCAGCATTAAGGCGGACATTAGACCTTGGTATATTCATTGTCAGTTGCACACTTTAGAGGACTCTTATTGTGCTGTCACTGCTTGATTAAGAGTGAGTGATTTTAGATGATCATGATAAGCGTTGTCATTTTAACAACTTACTTTTGATCATCAGGTAGGTACAATAAATTAAATAAACAAACAGCCATCAATGGTCCTTGACAGAGAGCATGATGTTGATGTTAATCTCTTATGTCAGACACAGAGTGGCAGTCTGAAGATATCTATGCATGAGCCTTGATTGCATCTTCAGAGAACGCACAGTAATCAGACCTGTGAGAAATCAGTTTCTGTACCATCCACCTGCAGGTGCATTTCACAGCAAGCTGCTGAAGGAAATGATAACATGAAGAACTCAAGAATACTTGAACTACTTAAGTTTTGATATGTAACAAAACCTCAGTGATGTTTGTGCCCATCTTTTCTTTTTAAACAAATTACTACGCAAAAGTTATTTGTTTTATCAGTTTCAGATCTAGCTTATGATTGATGTGTAGGGCAACACAAATGAGGTGATAAGCAGGTTGTCGTTACTTACAGTGGCCAGCCCTCTCCCGTAGACACGGTGAAGAGCGTCAGGAAGGCCCAGAGAACGTTATCGTAGTGAAACTCGTACTTCTTCCACACTCTGGGCTGAGCTTCCACACCATCACGGTTGAAGTCCAGAAACTGACCCCTGAGAGACAGGAAGCAGGGGGAAGGGGATCAAAAAACACATAGATAATGTCCGTATAGAATGTCGTGTTAGCAAATGTAAAACACCATGTCTGAATGTAGAGAACAGTACCTGCAGTCTTTCTCCAGACCCTTGGACTCGTCGGTGCAGTAGAAGAACTTCCCCTTAAAGAGCTGCACGGCGATGACAGCGAAGATGAACATGAAGAGCATGTAGACGATGAGGATGTTAAGAACGTTCTTCAGAGAGTTCACGACACAGTCGAACACCGCCTGGAAAACACACACGTAATGACATCAGTCAATGTAAACCACAGCATTGATGTACAATCTCTCCCATTGAAGCGGAAACATAACTGGTTCATTAGTTACTGTTCAAATTCCTTCATATGTTTAGGGCTGTGCTTATTTTATCTCCTTTATATACCGTTGGGTAGTTTAAAGTGGACCTATCATGCTATATTTGAATAATATAGTGTAGGACCATACCTATATAAGGCATATTTATACTTTTTTTTTTTCAAAATACCAAACAGATCATGCATTTTAGCCATGCCTCATTTTGCTCAATTTGACATTTTTTAGCTCTGTTTTTGCAAGGGTTGATTCTGTGAGCAACAGCACCATCTAGAGGCCTGGCATATGTACTACAGCGTCTCCAGCGCTTTCGAACGGCAATGGCCGTGGCTGTCTCCTCCTGATTGGTGGAGTTGGCCCAATAGCCGTAGCGCCACCGTCCTGACGTCAGGACAGTGTTCAAATCTGGATCAGTTTTTATCAGATCCGTTGCAGCCCCTTTTTTAGAGATTTGGGTATGGAGGAAAATAGAGAGGGTTGTGTTTTCTGACACTTGGTGAGTTCCCTGGAACACCGGGGACACATATTCATGTATAAAAGACGTACAAAAGTGCATTTTGCATGATAGGTCCCCTTTAATCGACTGTACAGCGATGCAATGTTTGTAGATTTGCGATGATGCAGGTATTCAGCAATACAAGAGTATTTTAAAAGAGTTTATTAAGCTCAAAAAGTAGGAGACATGCATAAAGGAACACTTCATCCTTCACACAATCAAATTCATTCAAAATGAATTTGGCTCTTTTTCCCGGAGAAGCAAAGGAATTAAAAAAAGGTGTCTAACAAATGTAGTACAGTACGTGAATGATTGTTATTAGTTTTATTCCACTACTGCTTATTTACTTACTTGCTTGCTTACTACTTATCTCCAAAAATGTGTTGTACTGAATGCTTCTTTAAAAAAAGGGAACTGCTTCTGAAACCACAGATAGTTTCTCGACAACACAGATGTCTAAAAACTCTTTCACCCGGACTGTTTTAACCCAGATGTGTAGACCTCTTATGACCTGCAGACTACCAAATCACTGCTGACTGAGAACATGAACACACTTGTGCATGAGTCTCTCTTCATGTCTGCCTGCCTGTCACTCTCTCCCTCTCCATCTCCTTTGTGTCAGCCTGTGCTGTGATCTCTCAATAAGATGGAGCGCCCTGTCTATCTCTCCTGGCATGCATGCAATCTAACCAATGAATATGCTGGCTGTATGAATGATGGCCAGGCTTTTGTCTCCAGAGAGAGGACAGAGCATAGTCTGTCAAACGGCTCTGCTCAACTCTCCAAGAAGAGATGTGGGTGAGTGTCCGTCTGCCAGCTCTGATCTGCCTCAATCATGTCACTCCCTTCGCTCCAATCAGATCTCTCGTTTTTTGTCAGATGCATTACTTTTGGTTGATCAGCTCATCACGCAGCAGAGGGAAGCTGTCGTCTCTGCATCAGAGAGGCTCTTTCCTTGATGAGGGTCATGATTTATTAATTTAAATAATTCACTCCACACACAATGCTTGAGATTCTTTACCATAAGCCCCTATGTATAAGTTCAACATGTTGGACTTTGACACACCCCAGTGGTTGCATCAAAAAGGATTTCAACTGGGATTCTATGATGTAAAAGTGATGCCATTGGCGTAATTTAAAAACTATGAATTATATACAAAGGTGTTACATTGTTACATTTGAAAGTTTCTTTGCGAAATCTAGCTCTGGAAAATGTGAACCATCTTTTGGGAGGCTTCTTTGCTTAACAGTATCTCAGAGATTAGCTCATATGCATGATGATCATATTTAACTGAATGGCAATGTTCAGCAATAAAAGAGGAACATTGTGACAAAACTGCAGATAAAGTTATTAAGTATACTTTTCAGTTTAAAAAAAATCCTTAATGGTTATTACATAAAATAAAAACTTGGAGCTTTGAAAAAACGGCAAAAGAAAAAACAAATAGTTTCTTGTTTTAAAAGCAATATAAATAATAACAAATTAGAAGGAAAAAAATATTACAAAAAATACAGATCTCAGTATTCTGAGGCTCTGAGCCCCATTTATTTTCCTCGCGGACGGCAAAAAAACTCAGACATTATACAATTTAAAATAAAAGGGATAGGGTTAGGCTTAGGGTAAGATATTGAGTAAGAAAATGTGTTTATGAACCACACAGCTTCCGGTCTTCCAAGACCCGACCGGACAAAAAGACGTGGTGCAGGCACGAAACATACTACCAATACAAATACATTGCATTTAAAATCGTTCTGTGTGACACGAAAAAAATGCGAAAATCGTGTTGGTGAACACGAATCAATAGATTAAATTAATTTCGTGACTATAACACGAAATGGCGTGAGACTGGGTTGCAATAAGTCCTCATACACAGAACTACTGCAGAAAGAGAAAGCCATTTCCAGTCACATATATCCAATTTGTGTGACTTTAACTTCCCCCATCTCTCCACAACACGACTGTTTTAAATCAGATATAGCAACTTCTCCTCTGTATACTATAAAATCATTTGACTCAATAATGCTGACACCGGATGTGGCCCCAGCTGCTTTTTCTCTCCTCATAATGCACTGGGTGGGTGACGGATTGGATTACTGTACCTTCAGCTTGGGGAGACGTTTTAATGGTCTTGAGTGGCCGCAGGACTCGGAGGACCCTCAGGGACTTGATGGTGTTTATGTCCTTGCCTTTCGTCCCTCTGTGCAGATTGAGAGAACAGTTAGTGTGTGTGTGTGTGATGGTGTCACCTAGAAGCCTGTGAACGCTTTCATCCTACCCATCCTCCAGTAGCATGAGCAGATTCAAGTACATCAGGTTTACTGTGAACTCTGATGAATGCAATTTTATATTCTGTTAGTAGAGTGCATGCATGTGAGGTAATGTTGTTCTACAGAAGCATGCAACAGTCGAGGAATTGGTTTGGAGTAACCAAATTGCATTTCCTAAAGTGCTGTAATGAAGTAAACCTTTCAGATTTGCTCCTTCATTACATTTGTTACCTGTTTTTCCTTCGCTTCTCATTTTCTTTCCCTTCTTCTTTTTGTCTATTCTTTCTTACAGTCTTTCTCTCTTTCCATCGGTCTTTTATTTACCCGTTTAGTCTCTTTGGTTTCTCTCTTGAATTCCTTCTTTCCTTTTGATAGCATGTTTACCCTTCTAAACTCCACTCTTTCTCAACAATTTGAACTACTGCAAAACATTGTTGACCTCTGATGTATTTTCCACTATGGTATTACTTATTGTTGTAAGATAACATCATAGTTAACAACCTTTTCCACAACTGTCATGGTGAGCATACAACATGCTGTTTCTGTGGAATAACATACAAACATTTCCCACTGTTCAGAGTAAATGCACAAAGAATCAGCCCCAGCTTCTTTGCAGGAACCGCTGCTGTCAGTCATTGCAGACGCTGCAGGTTTCTTAACTGGTCACTGAGTGGGAGGTGGGTGTGGGGCTTTGAAAACTAGCTGTTATGCTAATGACATACAGCTGAGCCATCATTCACTCAGACACTGACATTGGCCAAGGACGGCGGGAGAGGGATTTCTAATTAATCAGTCACATGTACACACAAAGTGGCTGTCACTCTCTGTGTTGTTTCTTATGACTTCAAACATGTCTAAAAAGTACAAACTGAGAGTGTTTATCTGTGTATGTGTATATAAATAATGCAATGTGCAAGGATGTGGCAAAGGACACAAGAATGTGAGAAGAAATAAGTCTGTTAGTGGCCCCTTGAGGCTCTGCTGTTTCTTACACCAGTTACTGTACACACCAACCAATTATTTCATCCCCAGGGGACATCAACAACTCCTAAAGTAATGTTGTTTATTCCAGCTAATAACTGTAAAAGAGCAGTTTTTTCAGGAGTATAACGTCAACTATCGGTGCTCCCAGTATACTGTTATCAATGTAAGCTGGAGCTCTGTAGTGTGCAGCTTGACAGGTGTAGCAACACTACAGAAACGGGGAATGAGGCAGAGCAAACAAACTGTTTATAATGTAATCTTGACACAATTCCACAAATAGACCTCTGAGAAAAAAGTCTGTAATTGAACATTGGGTCATCAAATTGATCTTTTTAAATAAGACTTGTGCAGTTTATCGTAGGAAATACCCAGGAAATAGAAATGTCAACTCAATTTAACTACCTGTAGTCATTTCCTGGTTATCCTTGAACCCTAAAATAGATCCTTCTGAGTAATGGAACATTATTACCAAATTAGAAAGTCCTTTCTAGGAAAATAATGCACAAATAAGCATTTTCAAGGAACGTAATGTGGATAGGAGGGTACATGTGAGATTATAGAAATGACCATAAATCTTATCCGATAAATGGACAGCATGTTGACTTTAAACATCTTCCTTCTCAGTCTTTTCTTCCCTTTGCCTCCTTTGCATAAGATTTGTCAGACACATACTCACACATCAGTCTGTCAAAAATAATGATATTAATCTGTAATAATAATTTGAACATATCTGATGATTAGAATAATTAAATAAGTCTATTTCCCATGTGTGTAAAAGTCTACAATACGGTGAGGAAGAGTAGCATGGTTCCATACATTGTATGCCTTTTCCTTTCTCAATGGAAAACTCTCAGTCTTATAAAATGGCATGCAGCTCTCATGCTTGGATGACTTGGTTACCCTGGCATGCAATCTGCAAACTCAATGCCAGTCCTCGCTATTCAAGGAGCTCGACACATTGAGACGGCAAGAACAGTCTCCCAATAGCTTTCAGAAGCGCCGTGGGCAAGGAGCATGTAATGTGTGTTTGTGTGTGTGTGGATACAAGGTTGTGTGTTCACATTAACTCAACACTGATGGCTTGAAGTCCAACATAATTAAGTCCATCATTTCTGCAGCCTTAATACTAACTGAAGGTATTATGGAAACATATAATCATACTTCTGTTGTTTTATTGCATATTCTTGGAAAATATATAATAAAATCTATATGAATCAATCTTATTTTCTTTAGGCTTTCAGGATACTAATTATCTAATTGTTATTATTATAAAGGGTCTGTGGTCTCTATTTGCCCTTTGTTAAATTGTGTTGCATTGGCGATGATTACAAAAAAAATTGAGAAGTCATTTATTTTAATAACATTATAACACCATTTGATATATTGAAATAAGTTCTACTACACTTGTGTGTTTATGTATTGAACTTAACTCTATGTAATTCTACCTTTTTGGCTGTCTTACAGACCGCTGCTTTCATATTTGAAAACATATCATTATTATTTTCGCTGAAACCGTATTCCTCAAAGGAGAACACAGCAGTTATTATTGAGCAGATATGAATGCTGGAGCAGACAGCAAACAGAGATTTAATTTAACTTTAATGTGCTCAGCAGCTGTGAGGTCATCCTCCGTCATCATGACTCTGTCGTATCAGCTGCTCGCTATTGGTCGAGGAGCATTTCCTGTTTAGGGATGTGACATCCACTCAGAAGCATTTCAGTGCCTCAGCTAAACAGCAAGCATGAGGCTCCTTCTATCGAGCTATATTACAAATAAAGCACAAATAAATATTTCAAATGTTTTTGCATACTCTCATTTGTATTTTTTCTATATTTTCTTCTTTACTTTTTAATCACTGGGAACATTTTCTGAGCTGAACATTGCAAGAGTTGTGATCAGAATTTCTTCTTGTGGTCATAAAAAAATATATAATTATTCTAAGAGAATTCAAGCGCTAAGGATGTGTGTGGACACACTAAGAAAAAAAGAAGTTGTACAACATTTGCTCACTTACAATGATTTCTTACGGGGGAAATAAACGTATCGGTTATTTATTTTTTTAAATACACAAGCTACTACCCCGCTTATGATGCGGCCACTCAAGGTGAATCCAGCTGAGAAGCTATAATCCTCCATCGATTTCTCTCTGAATGCAAGGAGAGATGTAGGTGAAGGGCAGGGAGGTGAATTAAGCTGCAGGCTATAATCTCTAAATGTTATGACCACTTTAGTGAAGATTAGAGGAGATTAACATGAAGGAGGAACATCAGATAAGGATGTTTCAGCTTTTATACAGCGGATACCTGATGAGTGGAAAGATACTCAGTTTAGATTGACACAGGATATATGTTGGTCTTCTGAAAGCTATGAGACGGAGTTTCCAATATTGTCTTTTTGTCTAGATGTCCCAATATTGGGACAGGAGGTTCTTTCTAAAGGGAAGACAGGAAGGAGGGAGGGAAATCATGGTCATATCCCGAGCACTTTGGGATGGAGGGGGACAGAGTTCATTTGGAAAGTTTGGTAAGAGGAGTGTTGATGTTTCATGTGGGGAAAGAGGGAAGGGGGGGTTTAATAAGTAAAAAGTAGATAGGGACAGTTCCCACCTGGCCACGCTTTGTTGCGATCTGATGAGAAAAAGCAATGACACAAACACAGTACAAAAACACAAACACCACCCACATAAATATAGCACAAAAGCATGTAAAGAAAGACAGCGCAAAATAAACATTTTAAGCAGATATCACACAGGTGTGAAGAAACAGGGACATTATCCGGCCTTTCAAACTTACACCGAAAAGAAACCAAAGATAAGACACAAATAGACGCACTTAAACTAATTACCCTGTGAAAGGGCAAAGCAATAGACAAGTGATGAATATTACAAAGAGCATGTGAAGTACACAGGTGAATAAATCACATTTATAGCAAGAGGATGACATGGACAGTTTTTTACTGGGAGAGAAGCCAAGATGAGAGGTCACTGTTGATGAATGCAATCCACTGACATGTCTGCTACAATGACTACATTAACACTGCGGCTGGAAACATCTAAACTAATAGTATCTACTTTTTGAAGACATTTTAAAGCACTTTTCACATATTGCCCCATACTGTATAAGAGGGCTGAAGTCCTGACGTCACTTAAAGGATAGCTACTGTTTTACTAGCTTTTATTACTCAATGCCAATTAACTGAATGTCTATTTTAATTTACACTTTGAGACTACGATTGCCCACATTTTTTATATTTTGAATCTTATCTTACGAGCATAACATGAGGATAAATGTCCGTTCTCTGCTTCTTATTGTTAGTTCTTCCTCTTTCCTTGGTTTCTCTCTAACCCATTTGATTGTTTGAATGCTCGTGTTTCTTCCCTCGTCAAATCGATAGCAGCTAGCCTGAGTATATTTTTTATAACCAATACAAGAATTCATCGTAATAAGATCCTAGTTCCAGGGAAGTAGAATTATCCTTGCAGTGTGAATGTAGCCTGGTTCACGCTTGCATGCCATGAAAGTGAGTTGATCAGTGAGATGACAGATGGAGCAAAGTGAAGGAGTAGTGGTTGAATGTGATAACCTGTAAATCCAACATTTCTATGGACAACAGCACAGCATACTGGACGAAGCTAAATGAACGGGACAATGTCAAAGCACTCTTACAATAAGTGATTTGTGATTATAAATGAACAGTGCATTACAAGTTAGAAACACAATGAAAGAATGATGACAGCTACATCATTCTGCATCTGAATAACACTTTAATTCTACGTCTGGTAATTGTTCAATTAGCACTAAATGTGTGTGTTAATTGCCAGAGGTACTTTGTGTTCATGAACATCTGGAACACCTTTTACTCTTACGAAACATTAAACCTGTTTCCTCTGACAGTTTGTTTTGTATTCACTGTGCTGCCATTAGGTATATTGTTCCTCTTACTAAAACTCATGAAATATATTTATGAAATATATCCGGTAAATGGACAGCAGGTAATTGCACTTATGTAACCCAGATGCAGATGTAACACAAACATAGTTGCATAACACAAACAGAGCAAATGCCAGAATCTTTGCTCGTGACCGTGGCGGTGAAGATAAGAATAGCGAATAACATAATATCACATTTGTTCCAAACATGTTGCTGCTAGAGGGAGGCTGCTTCATCTAAACTCTGCAAATGACATTGGCTATGATGGACAAGAAGGAAAACAGACGACACAAATAGAAAAGAAAAAAAAGCGTGCACATAGACAGAAACGCAGGCAGAGAGAGCAGGCAGCATTACCCCATGAGGCTCCTGAAAGCAATCCAAGCCAGACAACAAAGAAAGGAAGGAAAGTAAAGAGAGGAGACAGAGACAGAGTCAGAAACAGATAAAAAAACACAGAGAGAAGCATTTATCTACAGCTGGCGAAAGAGAAGAAACCGAGCAGCAGAGAGCAGTACAAAGAAAAATACACAGGTGACTAACTGTGGACACATTTCCAGGAAAGAATCAATACTGCAAGAGAAATAGTGAGAAAATGAACAGAATATGCAATCACCTTCCAACTCCAGAGACCCACAATGCAGGTCTGTGGGCGGCACGGGGCTCATTACTGTAACTCGCTGTATAATGTGGCTATGGGTAACGTTTATTTCCCATCATGCAAAATGGCACTTTATACCCCAGCACATTCGAGCCATTGTAGGTCAAAAATAAATTACAGAGCGAGGAAATGTGGGAAGCATTCTGAGTAAACATGTCATAAGTTGTACGTTTATGGGAAAGAATCCTCGATATTCTCTGAATAATGTGGTGTATTTACAAGAAAATACTCCTAAATGTAGTTACAGAAATATCCTAAAAAGGTACGTATATATATGCATATATTTTTTGATCATTTTTAGTAAGGGTTTTATATGAAACAGTCATGCAATCTTTAAAAGTAACATTTTAATTTAGTTTTCGAGAAAAATAGAATAGAAAATAGGGAAACATTTATATATATTTGAGTTTCTTAGCTACACAACCATTTATTTTTTTACTATTCGCTTCTCACTGATAATATGTTCTTACCAGCGCTCAACCAAAAGGGGTAATGGCCTTTTCATTTATGTCCATCTAATGCAAACATGTTTGTATGTGAGTGTTATTAGGATAAGTGTGAGACGAGACAAAAATGTGCATGTGAGTTAGGTTCAACATGTGGCCTATATACGATTATAAATAGCTGCTAAAATCTTCCTGAATACGGCGACATAAACATGAGAATATATTGACTTCCAAGGAATACAAATAATACCAAGTCTGGCAGAAAGACAGCAACATTGCTTGAAATTGATGATGACAATTGTTTATAACAGGAGAAAAAAATAGTTTTAGATACAATCATACAAATATAACTTTTGCAGTGTATTGAACCTGGCAATTAGGTGCCAGCTTGGAGACTTATTTCGCCTCCTGAAAGATAAAGCTGTCATCTAAACTGTGCACTGTTGAGCACGGAGGGAGCGTGGAAACTTGTGTGATGAGTGTGACATTGTTGTGATTGATAGATTTCCCCAAGCACCAATAAACCAAATCTGAATGGAGTTGTTTGTGAGACAAAACAAACACGCTGCGGCACCTAGCCACAGAGAGTTAGCATGCTAGGCTAGCCTGCTCCAGGGGAAGACACTGGAGAGAGGGTGATATATGACACAACCGTCATATTTTTCTGGTGTGGTTGTTGTATCCGTGCCTGAAATACTTTATATTCAGAGTTCTGCTAGGATTAGAGAAAAGGAAAAGTTGACTTACGAGCAGGCAAAGGCCACCAGAGCTCCGCTGACCACGATGAAGTCCAGAATGTTCCACAGGTCACGGAAATAAGCGCCAGGGTGGAGGATCAGTCCCAAGTCAATCATCTGGTGTCACAGCATAAAATAGAACAGAATAATTTGAGCTAATAATTCTTTTAATGCCTCTGCTATAGCTATTTTGACCTTGTTCCTCATTAGCTCATAAAAAGCACTTTAAGAGCGCTCTGCCTTCAAATGTAGTAGTGTCTTTTTAGTGACACAGCGCATTTTTCATCTTAAGGGTTTGGAAATAGGACATGGTTATCACAGCTGAGAAATGTAAACCGCAAACCCAATTAGCAATTCCAGGAACATGATCATTCTCCCTCCCAGTAAACACAGATTTGGTGATTTGCAGTTTGAAAGACAACTCGATGAAACCAAGCTAAATATGGTTTGAATGACTAAAATCTCAAAATGATAATCTCATACTGTAAACATATTAATTGTAATGCTGTTGGAACCATGGTTATGTAACCTTAACATCATGTGCATAGGCTACTCACCTTTATCACCATCTCAAAAGTGAAGACCCCCGTAAAGACATAATCCAGATACTTGAGAACCTGCAGAACAGAGGTTAAGAAAACATCCTGTGAGATGACTCAGATCCAGTGACAGATGTTTTCTGATTAAGATTCTTTTGAAGTGTGTGTGTGCGTGTGTACCAGTTATGCACAACATGTTCTTCTACCCTGTCAGAGGTCTCAAGCTCTGTCAGCTCTGCACTCCCCAGCTCTAACACAGATTGCCTGAACACCCACACACACGCAAACATACACCATCACCTTGCATTCCTTCTGCGCTCCTGACTTGAATAAGAATTAGTTGTGCGTGTCTGTCAGAATGCAAAAGCTCAAGTCTGTGCGCATGTATTATCCCCTTACTCTCAACATGGGTTCATATGTCAGGCACGGATGTAAAGAGTATTTAAAGATTCTGTCAAACTGGATGTGCGCCAAGTCAGTGACAACAATTGACCAAAAACGATCTAAAAACCTGTCAAACCCTGACTCTGTCTGACTGAGCCAGTCAGCTGAATGAAGTGTGTAAATCCGCAGGGATGCAAGCACATTTAATGCAAATACTAGTCTCTGTGACGATGCGTCTGTCAGCCAGTGTGTATGATGTGTCCTTCCAGATGTGTATTTATGAATTCCAGATGTCAGTGTGACTTACGTTGTTGCGCGGTGCATTCGCTTGCACTGGATCTTCGGCTGCCAGAGCAATGCTGCTCATTGTGATGACCAACAAGATGCACATTTCAAAGTAGCGTAGGTTGACCACGTAGTGACACAGCCGCCGCACCCTGCAAGACAACACACACACACACACACAGACATTTTAGAGTACACACAGAGAAGTGACAGCTCCATAGGTAACGTCCTTCTATAAAAGGTCAAGAAGCACACGCATATTCTTCCATGTCAAAACAATGTTTAGGTGGAAATGAATCTTGCATTTAATTTGTCTAATCCCCATCATGAGTCCATGATGATATGTGGGTCTGGAACGTGAATGGAGTGGTAAATCAAGAGATTCATCTTCTGCCTCAGCTCCTCAGATCCTGAGACACTAATTCACTTGAGGCACAAACACTTCATTTTTAAGGAGAGTGCCATGGCCTCAGACTTGAGGAGCTGGCGCCCTTCCCAACTGATTTACTCACAGCTACAAACCACCCCAGTGTGTGCTGGAGGTCATGGTCTAAAGCCAGAACTACATCAGCCTAAAGGAGAAACACAGCAAACACTGCTCTAAGGATGACAGTTCCTTCTGAAACTGAGGAACATGCCCCATCTTTCAGAATCTGGGAAAAGTTCTTACAGAAGTTATTGAACTTGTGGACTACCAGATGTTCTGGTTACGTAGGACCTAGATTCGCACCTACAGACTTGAAAATATGGTACGATACAAACACCCGTAAAACCAACATAAAACTCCTGTTGTGTGCAGCAGTTCTACAGTATGACAGTATAACTAGGAAGTTGATGGTTGATCTTTTGAACTTCGTTATTCTTGTACCTTAATAACGTGAATTTCGTAATAGTCAACCCTCAAAATTGCAGCTTTACAATTCAGTGTCAGTATGTTACAGAAAATGGAAGAAAGTATGGACAATATTTGTTAATTGATTCAAGGTTTTAATTTACTACAAACCAAGTTAGCATTAAGCGTAAGCTGCCCTTCCATTAGCTGTTAAGGGCGATTATTCATGAGTTGCAAAATAAAAGAATCTGTCGTATTCACACAAGTAATACAAGGCAAACATTTGCTTTGCATTTGGTCTGAACAAAGAGAGATTAGGTCACTAGAGAAGGCCATATTGTTTTTTTAGGGAAACACACAGTTGGTTAGCTGCAGTCTCAGGAGTGTCACAACACACATCTCAGAAAATAGAAGAGTCAAGCCCGGACTTTCCAGAGCCGCGCCGCGTTTAGAGTTAAGCTCAATTTGATCTCTCTGGTGATGCTCAATCTGCTGCACCGGCTGTGTTCCCCCACTACCAGAGAGAAAAGATTCCACATCCTGATAACAACTTGTATTAGATAGGGGGGTCAGTCCACCAAGTTCCCACGCCTCCTGCTGGCCAATGGCAACGCTCCAGACTCCTACTCATAAGCAAGTGCTATGTTCAAGTCCAGATATGAAAGCTTTAAAAAAGTAATGAAAGTGAATCTGATATGTTCCTCATTGAAAAGAGGTTGAATGTGTTTGAAAGTGTGTATGTATAATATGTGTCTATTAATTCTAAAGGACTGTTTTAACAAAGTGAGGTCATTACATCATTTTGGTTATCATCTTTGGATTGGCTAGGTGCTGTTAACTCATTTGACCCACTCTACATGGTAACATCCTAATCATTTGTGGGATTTATGAACTTTTTATCCTTAATTTAACCCAAGCTATCAATCTTATTCCACATCACTGCTCTCAGTCACTTGCAGCTACACTTACGGGTTAGTTTGCCCAAAGACGAACATGGAGCTGTAGGGGAGGATCTGCCGAGGCCCATTAGCCGCCTCCTCATCCTCCAGGTCTTTCTTCTCATCGCTGAATAAGAAGTTGTCACAGTCGATATTGTTCACTAGTGTGGAAAGATAAACACACTCATTAGCTCAAAGCAGCACAAACATTAGAGAAATACAAATATGGATACAAATTCCAGGCTTTTGGTCTGTGTGGTTTTATTGAAATATAATTAACTTGACAAGACGAGGCATGACAAATCTGAAAATCTTGGTTTATCATAAAAGCTGCTTACAAAAATGAACTTACTCTACTCATAAAGCTGCTATTACAAAGTCCCCCTAAAAATATATAGCATTTTTATACAATTAGAAACTGGAGTTACTAGACACAGGGTTCATACACTTTTTCACCAATGATTTTCAATGACTTTTCCATGACTTCTCCATGACCTTTACCTAATTTTCCATGACCAAAAAAAATTACTCTTTCTCAGCGGTACCACTGAAAATGGTTTATTTTAACATGGAACAGGAAAATAAGGTCTGGATATGAAACATGCTGTGCCTATCTAAAACAAATCCAATAGGCTTACTAGCTTCTACACGCTAAAGCAACTACAATCTCTCACCAGCAAAACACCTCGTCAGTTAAATGCCATTTTACGTTTCATTACTATACGATACAGTATGTATTATCATTATAGTATTACTATTTCGGCGATTAGCTAAAATATAAATTATATTTTATGCAACTTTAGTTACAGTTCCATGACTTTTCCAAAACTTTGGGAAAAATATTGTTTTCCATAACTTTTCCAGGGCCTGGAATTTGCATTATGAATTTCCATGACTTTTCCAGGTTTTTAATGACCGTAAGAACCCTGTAGACAATAATGGCATTCTCACCTGCGTCATTTCTACCTATTGATAGAGTTAATTAGCAAATAGGCACTAGGCTAAGATGGTAACCATGGTAACCATTATGATTATTTAGCATTAGCATGTAAACATTGTCCTTATGATCATGTTACTGTGCCGATATAAGTGTTGAACTCAAAGCATTGCAGTGCCAAAGTACAGTTTCACAGAGTCACTAGCATGGTTTTCAAATGTTAGTCTAAGTAAACAGAGTATTACATTGCAAAATAAATATTCCCCTTGCAGGATTCATAAAGTATGCCGTCCTCTATAGTGTATTTGACTTTTACTCATTAATTCTTCTGCTGAGATCTGAAGCCGTGGCGATATTCTTAATTAGCCTTAATTACCCCTAATGACACTGCTGTAAATTGATGACTGGTGGAAACATTATAATAAGATGTTTTAACCTCATAACAGATGCAAGTAACATCCAAAATTAAAATTAGTTATTATTATTTTCTCTGCTTAATGAGTTCTTTTTACAATGGGTGAACACAACGATCGACTGATTCATCCATAGCCACACGATCTTCTACGAATAACACTTCATTTACATGTCTTTATCTAATTCTAGTGTCTAATTAAGTCAAGTTAGAAATGAAGCAAACACCGGGTGGTCTGTGGATTATTTTCATCAACCTTTGCAACCTCTCTTCTCCTGATGGCGGTGTGTACTCACTGGGTATGATGGTGGTCTCTCCGGGCGGGGCGGTGATGGTGACGGGGATGACGATGGTGTTGCTGTTGAGGCCGGCCTGGCTGGCCCTGGTGGAGTTCTTCTGGTTGTCGGCGTCCTCCTGCTTCTCTCCAAGACTCAGGTTACTGCGCATGGGCTGCAGAGGACTGGAGGCCAGGCCGTCGTCCTCAGCATCCGGCTGCCTGTCCCTGGGGAGAGAGATGTGTGTCCATGTATCACAGGCTTCATTACACTCTGCTCACAGGGTTCTCAAAGCTTCGTGCCAAATTAGACCCGTTCGATAACATTTCTCTGTCCTCCTGGGATAGGATCTATGCTGCTAGACTAGAAATGCTACCAAACACACTATCATATGGTAGTGGAATTGTATTTCTTACATAGTGTCTTAGAATATATGTTTTCCGTCTAAAAGATCCACTAGAATTAATTAAGCCGAGCCAGACACAAAACAGAGAGCTGAAGCGAGTGTGTGGATGATGTTATGACATGCAGCTGTTATGCCTATACACCATGAACAAATATTCAAAACAGACAAAGAAGATATAAAATGAAGCAAGACTCTGCAACTGTACGTCTGGTTTCTAACTTGAAATGTATTCAGAAACTAAACTTGGTGGAAAGTTAAGAGAAATGTGATGCTTCCGGATCAGCCAACAGATGCAAAGGGATGCAAGCAATGCTTTTCAGTTTGTATTCTGGCTGTGTAATGCTGTACTTTGTATGGTAATGAAACACTCTAAAATAATAAGTTCTCCATTTACTAACACAGTGCATTAGTGCTTCTGCTTTTGCAAGCAAAGCATTAGAGCAGCAAAAAAATGTAGTGTGTAAAATTTGAAGAGTATAAAACAAGAACCAAGTTATAATACAAAAACAGTGCTGTAGTTCGGATAAGAGCTCTACAGGGCTGCAGGGAGGACGTATTTTTGAAAAGAAACCCAGAGGTTAATTATTGAAGAAAATAAGCTTATGTGTATATGTTTATGATACTTGGTCTTTTTGTTAAGCCAGATAATCTTCAGAAACAAAAGACAATTGTATTACTTTTGAAAATATTATCGCCTTAAGTCAAAAGCTAACGCTAGACTAGAACTACAAAACACAACAACTCCTAGCTGGTGTTCATAACTGTGTCAATATGTCACAATATGTCGATCTCACATGCTTTTTCAAAGAAGACCATGAAAATGCAGATTGGGGCCAAAACCTCTACAGCAGGGATGGGCAAATGGCGGCATCCTCCTTTTGCAGCCCTCAGATTAATTTATAAACAACGTAAATAATATAAAATTAAAAAATAATTAAAAAAATTACTTTTTATTTTTTTACTTGTAGTACTGATACCGTCCACTAGACTCCTAGTTAGGTCGCAAACTGCGTACATGATTTCGTTCGGCAGCCAAATACCGCAAAATAATCTGTGATGCGTTCGTGTGTATTGTGTTTGTTTCCCGGGGAAACACTTGGCTGCCATGACAGGTGTCTGTGTTGATATTCCCCTTATTGTGGAATAAGGGGAATGCAGAGACAGGCTACCAGTGTCTTAGGTTCAAGTTAGACAACTAATGTCTGGGTTAGTGTTCATGACTTCATGTTTATGTCATCTTAATGTTTAATCTTGATGCACACACTTTCCGTGCTTTCCAATAGTTTAAAATAGTTGTATTCCACTGTTAAATAACCTGTTCAATACAAACATGCCACTTGTAAAAATGAAATAACATTTCTGTGAACTGATATTTGTTTAGTGAGCTTATTAGAGGATGTTCCCTGAAAGATTGTAAAATGTCAATGAAGATGTCAGAATTCGTATATTTGTTAATAATTACATACAATACATGGAATTTGTGTGTGTGTGTGTTCCAAGAGAATCTGCGGCCCCTGGTGGCCAGTACATACATTATGTGGCCCCCACCACCATCCAAGTTGCCCATCCCTGCTGTACAGAGTCAGCAAATACACATCAATGCACCTTTGGTTAGGGTCAGTGTGTTAGCAAACACATTTTACAAGACACCCACATGCTTTAGAATTCAGGAGTGGTGTCATTACTGGCATATGTTATGTAGTAGTATAACACATGTAAATCTCTTGTACTTGTATTTACCACAGACCTCATTTCAGGCCTCTTACAAAACACCCATTGAAAACCTATTGGCTACAAAACAATGGAACCAGAAGTGCAAAAAGGCTGTCTAATTTCTTTGATGTAGGACTGTATCTGTATCTTTAATAATTGTGAATAGTTTAGGACAGTCAGGATGTAGCATGGCCTCTGTATAGTTTTTAATTGCATATCCAATAATGAATACTTATAGAGTTTAATGTCTGCCGTCTTACCTGTGACCTTTGAATCCATTCTTGTTCCTCTTACAGTCGTCTCCATCGAGAGTAGAGTGCGCTCTGACCATCCGAGAGCAGCGTCCCCTCCTCTCTCCGTTACTCTCCCCTCCTCCTCCCCCCTTCCCCCTGTGCTCTCCCTGTGCTCCGTTGGCTATCACCCCGTTCCCCTCTTTGGGTGAACGATGGGAGTGATGGTGGCGGTGTCCTCTCTCTTCT